ACGCTTGAGGTATTCGGCCAACCACAACGCGCTGGATAGCTGGCCAATCAGAGCACACCTCGCTTTTCAGACCGATGAGCTTTGTAAAAATCGACGCGTTTCAGAAAGGCGGGGCATAGAGGAGAAACAATAATGTACAGTATGTGGAAAATAATGTGTTTTTTGAACCTTAAACCGCATAAACACATTTCATTACACCAAATACACAAAATAATGCTCTTTTTAGCAACGTCATAGGACCCCTTTAAGAAATACAATAATGCATATAATAAAAATATATAAAGTAACAAAATAGAAATATATATATAAATAATTAATCTAATTTGAAAAATAACAAAAATTTAAATTACTAGTATGGCTAAGTAATATTTTGGTTATATGTGCGAGTGTGCAGTATATACCTGAATTGCCTGCACTAGTCTGTTGCTGAGCTCTAGAGCAGCAGAGGCGGTAGAGGTGCCAAACGATGCTGCCCCCCTCTGGAGGCCTCGGATAATACGCCCATCCTTCCGGTACTGCTCTATCGGCATCCAGAACAAATCACGCACACCATGGACTGCAGAGAACACAAAACTTTATTGCAATCTGACTATTCAAGATTAACCTCATGGTCATTCAATTCCAACATCACTGGAGAAACATCACTGAAAAAAAGATTAAAGGAAAGTACTGAAATCAGTCTAATAACCATTAGACTGATCTCAGTACTTTCCTTTAAATAGCCTGAGCAGTTAAAAGAAATACAGCAATGCGCCTAACTAAGATGTTGCATGTCATACTCACAGAGTTGTACGACAGAATGCATGGGACCAACACCTCCCAGAATCCCCGGCAGCTGGTTCTTCCTGATGTCTGTGAGCCATTCGTTCACAGCATACTGAATCACCTTATCAACACCCAGCAGCCTGAAACAAAACAACTCGCTCTTCAGATCTAGATTCAAAGGTAAAGCAGGCAAAAAGTTAAGATGAAGAGGTGTTTACCCATGTCTACAGCACAATCTCTTCAGCTTTAGTTCAGAGCAGTTTAGCTGGGCCAGACCAATCAGGATGCCTGCAAACGTTCCCTAGGAAACCAGAGATAATAAATGTTACCATAATAGCAGTTCAACTAAAACAACTGATCTTATTCAGAAAATGTTGTTGCTGTGTTTAAGCTTAGCACTCAAACTACACAGATAAACTGACTATGATTCCATGAACATAGAGCATCGGTTATTTTATATAAGTGATCGCCAACCTGCTCAATAACCACATGCTTCCCGTGATAGTCCAGCCAGATGGGAACTTCAGAGGTGAAACGAAACTCTCTTAAAAAGAAAGAGCGCGAAAGGACATTGATTATGATTTACACATTTGTTTTGATGGATATTGTCGTGTGGTTCGATGGCAGATCTTCTACCTGAAGTAGATGGGCTGCTCAGAGGAGGACGAGGAGCCAGCGGAGGAGGAACTCTGCTCACTATAGGTTGTTTCTACAGAAGCAGCCAGATCATGGCCCAGTCCGGAGCCAGGATCTGTGTCATCTGAAGCCTTCTGAGGAACGTCAGTTCTTACTGGAAGAATGCCCATACACAATTACAGTTCAAATAAATAGGCTAAATAAATGTGTACAATAAAAAATATATAGTTAAATTCATATGTTAAAAAAATATTAATAAAATAAAAAAAGATGAAAAAAAAAAGAAAAATTGGCAGAACCATAAAGTAACTATTACTTTATACTAAACTTCAAAAAGTTATATTAAAACTTTTAAATATAAAATCAAATTAGTAATAAAACTGTATGTTTGTGTGTGTATGTATATATATATATATATATATTACGGGTGCAACGGTTCAACTTACTCATGGTTCGGTTTGTATCACGGTTTTAGAGTCACGGTTTCGGTACGGTTCGGTATGTGCTATGTTTAGGGGAAAAAACTATATTGTCAAATAAAAATAAAGAAAATAAGAACAAATAATCTAACTACAAGCAACAGCACAAATAAATAAACAGTGAAAAAAAGATAAATAAAATAAACAGTGCTTTTCAGTTTTTTTAGGTAGGTCTAACATAGTTTTTAGGTACAGAAATTGAATAAATCAAATGTAAAATAACATTGCATAGGCTATTTGACTGTATAAATGAAAGATTAATCCTTATTAAAGTTACAAACGTTATTCAATCAAGAGCAGTGAGAGATTTCCGTGTTGTTGCTGTTTGATTAACATTAAGAAAGTGCTGTCACTTTAAGAGAACGCTCTGATTCAGTGCACTGATATTGTACGTTCAGCCGACTATGTCTACTAGGATACTAACCAAGAAACACGTGATGACGGCATAAATGACAGTTATTCCAGCATACAGCACTTGCATTGATTAAAGAGTGACTGGTTTGCCCACGTATTGGTTTTTTTTTCTCTCTCATCGCTCTTGTTGTAATGTATTGGGAAGCCAGAATTTGTATCCATCAACAGAAACAAGCATTAGCCGAACTCTAACAAACCATATTACAGATGCATTGTCAGATTTAATTTGAACCGCGGTCCTAGTGTATGCCGAACTGTGTGTGGAAAACGGAACGGTTCGATTTTTTACCGAGAACCGTTGCACCCCTAATATAAATAAGCAACAAACTGAAATAAGTTGAAGTTGAAGCACTAAAATTAGTAAACCTAAACTAAAACTTAAAAAATATATATATATATTAAATGAAATTAATGAAACCAAAATAGCAATATATATATAAAACCTTGGCTAATAGACAAAATGTCAAAAATCACAAATTATTTAAAAAATAAACTAAATTTAAAATGAAAACTGAAAATACAAAAATAAAAGTCAATTCAAAATATTAATAAACAAATAATAATAAATAAAAAAAGTAACAAATTAACAATAAATAAATTCATTCATTCATGGGGGGCAGATTTACCCTCAGCTGCAGGGTCGATGGATAGGCAAGGATTAACTCCTGTAGCCATGTTACTGAAAAAGTCCTTCAAGAAGAAAAGTGCGTCCTAGGAAATGAAAACGAACGCGACTTTTACGGAGCCTGATATGAAACATTATTTGTTCTGTGCTGAAAAATGGTTCTCGCATAATGAGTACCTGGTCGATATTGAGTCGCAGTGGTAACAGACTGACTCTCAGACAGCACTCTGGTCCGCCCAAACCTGATTCAGGCATCACCTGCAGCGCTTTCACTGTCAACTACAGCAACAATTGAGCCAGGTAAGAACACAAACACAAACAGAAACTTGTTCACTTTGTATCCCGCTCTCTATCTCACCATGTTGGAGTGAGCTCTGCGTGGCATGCTCTCACTGGTGTACAGGTACAGGAACTTGTTGATTTGAGAGGAAGCCAGACGGTCTCGCACCTCCAGTTCCTGGACGATAAACACTTGGCGGGAAATAGGCTGTTCTCCGAGGCCGGGTCCTTCTGCATCTGGTCCTGCAGCAGGGGGCGCCACCACTGGGTACGTCTCATGCTGGAAACTGAGCTGAAGAGAGAGAAAGAGGTTATAGAACTAGAAACAAGGATTTCTGAATCTTCAAATCACTGATTGCAATACATTATACCTTTGTCAGCTGTATCTCCATGAGCAGTGTGTGCTGCCGCCCACTTCCCCCAACCCACCGCCAGGAGTTCTGGGGCCGCGAGGGCCCCGCTGAACGAGAGGGAGAACCACGGGCTCCGGGAGCAGCTGAGCGAACTCTTTGATACACAAACATTTCATATCATGTGATTTCAACTTTAAGGCATTTTCACACCTGGCTCGTTTGGAGCGCTTGTTTCAGAACCTGTTGCCTTGTGAAAACAAGCTGAACCATAAAGAAAATGCAACATTGTAACAATCTGTAACAAGTCCTTGTTTCAAAACAAAGCAAAGATCTACGGACACCCTCAAAGTCTGGCTTCTCAGACCTACTCACTTATGGCTGTGTGGTGTGTGGGCCGAGCTGGGTTTGCCACCGAAGTCTTTGCCGCCATACAAGTGCCAGACGACAGACACCTCTCGGAGCACCACTCTGTTCTGAGGCACTGGGAAGTGGGCCGGGGCGCGCAGCAGATCTGAACTGCCTCGAGGCCGAGAGTAGTAACCATCCCGCACCTTTATAGGGTCCTGGGAGAGCACCGTCACCACAGGCTCACCATCTCTAGGCTGTCAGAGAGAGAGAAACTGCACTCTAAAAAAATCAATTTTCAAAGTTATAAATAAAACCGATTTATTGGGGTACGTTTTGCAAGAAAATACCATTTTCGTCTTTCTACTTCAAGATTTCATGATTTATTCAATGTGTTACTTGCCTGTTTCTTTGTAATTATTTATGAAATTGTTTTTTTTGCCAGAGTATTAATTAAAGGCTAGAGAAGAATATGAAAACTGAGGGTACATACTGGGATGCCCATCCCAGGGGCCTCTAGGATGCAGAAGTCGTCGTTGTCGGTGGAACCCTCTGATCCTTCCTCTGACATCATATCTGCATGAGCTTCCATAGCTGTGGTGACCAGTCCATCAATATCAGACTCCTCCCCTTCTAGAACAGAGGGGCGGTGCTTGGGGGCTTCTCCCGGGAACAGATAGACTGAGACAGGCGAGGCTCGGCGAATGGAGGGAGAACCTGCTTTATAAATACACAGAAGCAAATAACCATTAATCTATAACACTCAAGTTTGGTGTCTTTTTGGCTATACTTTTATTCAGTAAGGATGCATTAAACCGATCAAAAGTGACAGTAAATGCATTTATAATGTTACAAAAGTTTTCTATTTCAAATAAATTCTGTTCTTTTATACTTTCTGTTCACTCCTGAAAACAAGTACCACAGTTTCCACAAAAATATTAAGCAGCACAGCTGTTTTTGAGATAAGAAATATTTCTGAGCAGAAATCAGCATATTAGAATGATTTCTGAAGGATCATGTGACACTGAAGACTGGAGTAATGATGCTGACAGCACAGGAATAAATAGCATTTTAAAATATATTCAGACAGAAAACAGTTTTATTTTAAATGATAATAATACTTCACAATACTATTGATTTCACTGTCTTTTAGATTAAATAAATGCAGCCTTGGTGAGCATAAGAGTTCTTTCAAAATTATACCAACCCCAAACTACTTTCAAATTTATAAAAGATTAGTCATGCAACAACTACATTAACTAAATGCCACATAAACATCTGGATTAGTCATGAAACAACTACATAAACTTAAATGCCACACGTTTTGTTGTTATAGACATGCCTTTATATATAAACAACTTCCAGTGTCTTACCAGAATCTTGGGTGTCTTCCTGTAGGATTCTCTCGGTGTCAATCAAGGCATCTGTGAGGTCACACTGGTTAATCTCTGCTGTCTCTGCTGGAGGGCAGGGTGGAAGGGAGGCAGGACTTTCTGACAGCTAAAAGAGAGAGATTTGAATACAAGAGTTGAATACAAATGGGAAAAACAGCTATACTAAAGCTGTAAAAAATCATACCAGAAGTTTCTGTCCGGCGATCTCTGTGGGGGACGTGTGGCGAGGGGGAGGGTGAAGATCGCCCTGGGAAACCAGGTACTGCAGCATGTTAACCAGAGCAGCGCACGAGTCGGCACAGGTGTGCACGTGAACTACATTATTAGAACAACGAAGCTCGAATAACGGCTGAGTCTGCAAATATTATTAAAGAAACATAGATAGTTATTAACAAAATGGAAGATAAAAACAGAGTAAAAAAAATGCTGCTACTGCATAGTCCAGCATTGTGTCAGGCTATAATTAATCTAAAACGACATTTTATGTAATTACTGTATAATTTTGTAACCTTAAAAGGAATATATGCACTTATATTCATATGCAGTAAAATTAATTTGTCACATCCCATGATTAAGAGACTTGCAAGAAAGATAAAATGTAAAATAGACTGCTAAACCTAATTAACTAGTAAACTAGTTTAATTTAAATATAATAAATAATTAATATAAAATATATCAATAAATAACACTTACTACATGAAAATATCACAAATATTTTTTTTAAATAATAATAATTAATATTATTATTACTTTTAATTAATTAACATAAAATCTTGATGTTCAAAAAAATTAAACTGGGACCTGTCACTGGCCAACTACCTATGTAACACAGTTAAATAAATTAATTTACTTACAATGCACACTGTAAAAAAAATGATTCTCCACATAATATAATTGAAATGCTAAGAAATCTTCAAGCCAGTGGAGGTTGGCATGAAACTAACCAGTTTACTCGAGTCAGTTCCTTTCCAAGTTGTTATGGCCAGTTCCAGCAGATCAATGTCTAACACACACACATAGTCTGAGACAGACAAAAACGATATGATTAGAGGTGGCCCACCTATAGACATGAATGCAAAAACAAGATTTTAAAAGCTATGTTTGTTCTGTACCTCGTCTCAAATCCACAGTATCACTTTCACATTTATCGGACAGGTACAACGCAGAGTCATCTAAGATAAACCTAAAAGAAGATTTCAGAGCTGTTAGGGTCAATCAAATAATTTCAGCGCAACCATTTAAGATCACACCACAGTGATAAGTACCTGAGGTGAAAGGTCGCAGTGTCCACAATGATGTTGCTGGATAAAGAAAAGGACTCAGCTGTAAACAAAACTCGCAGAGGAAGATAAAGCGGCCTGCAGGGAGAAATGAAAAAGAAAGTTTACAGAATGAACTAAGAGTATTTGTGAGACCAAACATTCAGTGTTACTACAATACCTGTAGTCCACTGCACAGGTGGCCAGGTGAGTGTGAAGAACCGTGATGATGGCAGGTGGGGTGTAGCCTAAAATGTCATCATCAATGACATCAAGGAAATCAACAATCTGTATAGAGAACAGTGTTATTATAATACCTGAAACTAAAAACACATCTGAGTTATTTGCATTAATGTTGACTGAAACCTAACAATTATTTTTATTTCACCTAGTTGCAATATAGTAGCAACATTTCTCATTTAATTTGGTTTAACTTGATGTACTAAAATAACTAAAACTGGATTAAAAATGAATGAAAACAAAAACACAACAAAATTACTCAAGTAAAAATTGAAAATATAAAAATAAAAACTAATTAACATATTAATAAAACCTATAAAAGTATCTCAATGTTACTAAAATAGCATTGATAGAGAATGCAGAAAAAATATCAGAAATAAATAATTACCACTACTACTAATAATACATAATTTAAGTCAAAACAGTGATGTTAAAACTAAAGCCATTACAATATAAAATTAATAAAAAATATTTTAAAAAACAAAACAATAAATCTAAATATTAGATGAAAAACCTAAAAGAGTTTTAAGTACTTTTAAGAAAAACTTGCCATGGCAACTAATTGAAATACATTTCTGTTGAAATGACTAAAACTGAAATAAAAACAGATTAAATCTAAATTTGTGGATTAAAAATCCACATTAGCCAATCATTCATGACAGATCCACACACCTATTTTAAATTGATATCTAATCTAGCTACCAACAGGTACCTGCTCATGCCAGCTATGATTGGTTAACGCCATGTGATGTCGTAAAGTAGCACCATGGAGTCGCAGTGCGACCAGAAACTCCTGCAAAGAAAATGAGATGAATACTTATAAATGACAAACAAACAACAATCATCCCATAATTAACCCAACTGACAGACGACAAGAAGATGAGATAACACAGACCTTCACATTCCTTTCAAGATCTAATGTGATCTTGATGGCAGTCGACAGCATCTGAACGTCGGTTTCTCGGCCACCAACACTGCTCACTCCCACCTCTGTGGGGTAAATGGTAGGGTCCAGATGACCCGGGGAAGTGAATCTGGGCATTTCCAGTTTCACAGGAATAGGGGAGTCTGGGACCTCGGCTATATAAAGAGCCAAAGACACAAAAACAACTTTTTGCATTTCAGAACAGGATAACAACTTTTTCCCATGCAATAACTATAGGAGTATAAGAGACTAGATGTCATTTTAAATGGTTTAACAGCTCACCTTTATGGTACAGCTCTACTCTTCTGCTTTCTACGGTAAGAAAGTTGAGATTGGGATTGTTCTGGTGTTGCGTTACACTAAAAATCTTTCCTCCTTCCAAGTCCAAAATGAGTTCTCCATGACAGAGGTCCATTTTACGTCCAGCTTCATTCTTCAAAGGAATGGTATCAGAATTTGATGCGAGTAAAGTGAAACTTTACTGCCACTGGTGTCGACTTCTATAATTTTGCTATTGTGACAACGCTACAATTTATCACAGTTTTTTTTTTTTGCATTTACCTTGCAATCCGTCATAGCTTGGAGACGACCTTTGCCAATCAGAACCGTTAAACAGAGCAGACTGAGGGCGTGGCTGGACTGAGGCTCTAACTGTTTCCTTTGTTTTGATTGGTTGGTTGAGAAGAACAGCGGCGGCTCCTCCTCCTCAGAGTCAGATTCTGGGTGAGTGAAAAAAATAATAATCTTTAACTGAAGCCAAAACACTGTTGTTGCTGTTAACTAAAACGAAAAAAAATAAAATAAAATCAGATATAAAAACTTGCCTTAGCAACCCATTTAAATAAAATAAGTTTAAGATTAAATGATTAAAACTAAAACAAAAATCAATTAAAACTATATAGAAATATTTTTAAAAAGACTAATAAAAATGACAAAAGCACAAAAAAATTATTAACAAAAACTACAATTAAAATTAAGACTGAAAATATAAAAGTAGAAGCATGTACAAAATATTAATAATTGCAAAAATAGTATATAAAACAAGTCAAAATGTTCATAACTCAACATATGAAACAAATGAGCATGACTGACCCAGCCTGAAGGCAGATTTACAGAGGTAAAATTCATCCTTCTCAGGTCTGTACTGGTGGGAGGGACTACGAGAACTTTGAAAAGAAGAAGGAGGAGCAGGAGGAGGGGACGGAGGAGGTGGAGGAGGTTCCCACATCAACAGATCATTACTAATCCTGGGGAGAAAGAGATAGTGGAGGTTGACATCAGTCAAACATGGCTTTATTTTTACATGGCATTTATTTTATTTTACTTATTTCATTTGTACCCAACACAACATGCATATAATCTGAAATGGACATTAATTCTGAAAAGGGCATTTCAAAGTCAATGTTTAGAGAGAATTTTTTCAAAAGTTCATTCTCTTGAATGTGTGAGTGTTGAGCAATACCTGTTATAGATGCTCAGAAAAGCCTCTTTACTGGGAAGGAGAATGTAGGCTACAGGAAAGGTGATATCAACCACATACTGACACTGACAGATACACTGAGTCTGAAACTCATCCATCTCCTCTGGGTCTGCTGGGATCACCATCTGAGACAGAGACAGAGAACGAGTCAAGTGCAGGAATGAAAGAAAGACCGACAGACAGCCAGACAGATGGACGTACCTCTTCGGTCTCAAACATAGTGCGGTTGGAGGAGAAAGGAGAGCTGTTCTTCTCTCGGAGTTCACAGGGGTTCTCTAGAGACATGGAGCCCAGCCCCAGATCCCTGTTCACCCCTTCACACACACCCGTACTGTCAGAACCCGCTCCTTCATTCACTCGTATCTGAATCCTATAGATGGAAAAGAGAGGGAACTACAAATGCTTTCCTAAGATTCGCTGTTTTCTTCCAACTAAAGATTTGTATGACACATTGTATTGTACTCAAAGCATAATCTCAGACACACATACACTCTCTAACTCACCTGGGAATGCCATCAGGGTTCTGTGGATCTGGGCTCTTTTGCACACGGATACAGGGAAATGCCTCTCCCTCCCAGCCCTCATACACTCCTAAAACACACACATACACACTCCAGGTGAGTTTACGAGAAAATACCAATGCATCCTGAACACTAGACCTTAAAATGAATCCAACCAGACTGAAACAGAAACAGAATTTAATAAAAAGAGTTTAGATCCACCAGGATTTGATCGAATCGTTATTATTAAAGGGATAGTAAAAAATATATTTTGAGGAAATGTTGGCAACCAAACAGCTGCTGGTAGCTACTGGCTTCCATAGCATGGACAAAAAAGGATGGAAGTCAACGGCTACCAGCAACTGTTTGGCTACCAACATTTGTTAAAATATTTTCTTTTGTGTTCAGCAAAAGAATGATTCATGAGAATGAATAAATGATGACAAATTTTTCATTTTTGGGTGAACTATCCCTTTACATTTTAACATTATAAACTGTCGCTACTGTTGTATTTAATATGTCCTTGCTGTATTAATTGCTTAGAAAAAAAAAAAAGCGTATATGACAACTGAAAAAAATAAATGGACGCCTCACCGTGCATATCAGTGAAACAGGCCTCCAGTAGTTTGGCGAGTTTGGCCCCTGGGCTGCAGGGGCCGTCCTGCTGAACGTCTGGCCCCTGCTGAGACTTCAGCTCCAGATTAGAGATCTGCAGGCTCAAGATCTCATTTCGCACTGCACACTGGCTCAGGGGCCGCCTCAGCCCCAGGGGTCGAAGGTCAGGGATGGGGAAACGGACCTTCAACACGGCATAAGGAGATTGAAGCAGGAGAGAAGAATGGAGCTCCAACAAATGAGACTGCAGAGAAAAAGACAGAGGATTAAACCATACATTACAAACAATGTCACTATGTAAGGTTAAAAAATAAACAATTTTTGCTGAGGTAGGGGTATTATGTTGTTGTTTTCGATCAGGAGAGTTTAGTGACCTCTGCAGCCTGCGCTGTGTTTCTTTGAGATGGCGCTGGACAGTGCCTCAGGGCCTGCAGGATGTCCTCCAGTCGGCCTATAATGTCCAGGTCCAACTCAGAGCTGAGCTCCCCGAGCTTGATTCGCAGAGAGCTGTCCATCCGTATCACACGACGCCTGCTTCCACTCTATAGGAGAACAGGAAAAACAGTTTCATATAGATCTATCGCGGAAAGTATAAAAGACACAAACACTTCTCACAAATCAATGTCATAGGACTGTAGTACCTTACGCATGTGCTTCTCAGACAGACTGTGGTGGAACTGGGCGCAGGGTCTGGCAGTGGTGCCCATCGTGAAGAGACCAGCTGACTGGAACTGCAAAAGCTGGGAAAAGAAAACGTGTGGACGCACATGCTCATTTTAAAGGAACTCTTCCAGAACCTTCATCAGCCTGCATGATGTCTCCTGCTGGATTTGCAAACTTTTGGCCGACTCACTTGTCGTAACTCAAACTGTATTCACATCTGTTTAAAATTCTCCCTGGAGCAGTTGGCAAAGCCTTGGATGTGTGACTGTATTACACCATTACACCACTGTAATAATCTGGTGACCAACTGGTAATTTTCTGATTTTAATGGCTGTTTGACTGTTTTGACAGTCCAGATTGTGGTCTAGAGGGCAACAGCGATTAAAACTTGAACACAATACTCTACAAAATGATGCAACAAAAGTGTTTCAAGAGAATGTATAATAAAATAATAAAAACAGAACTTTACTTGCTCTTTGCTTTAAATAAGAGAGTTCAAAAAGTTATTCAGTATTCAGCATTTGGCCAGTATGTGAAGGCCAGCCAAACAAAGTGGAGGTCATTTGCATGTATTCTTCAAGATCCAGCTATTTAATCCCAAGCTTATTTTAACTTTTAGAGGTCAGAGAGAGGGTGGAAATGATCAGAAAAACTAATTAGTAACTCTTAAAAGGGATAGTTTACCCAAAATTCTGTCATTAATTACTCGCCTTTATGTCGTTCCAAACCCATAAGTCCCTTCGTTCATCTTCGGAACACAAATGAAGATATTTTTGATGAAATCTGAGAGCTTTCTGACCCTGCATAAACAGCAACGCAACTGACACGTTCAAGGTCCAGAAAAGTAGTAAGGACATCGATAAAATAGTCCATGTGACATCAGTGGTTCAACTGTAATTTTATGAAGCTACGAGAGTAGCATTCGTGGTACTCTCGTGAACGTGTGTTGAATTCTGACACAGAAGAGAAGAAAGTGTTGAATTAAGTCATTTTTTTCTTTACGTACAAAAAGTATTCTCGCATTCATAAAATTACGGTTGAACCACTGATGTCACATGGACTATTTTAACGATGTCCTTACTACCTTTCTGGACCTTGAACGTGTGTCAGTTGTATTGCTGTTTATGCAAGGCCAGAAAGCTCTCAGATTTCATCAAAAATATCTTAGTGTTCTGAAGATGAACCAAGGTCTTACAGGTTTGGAACAACATTAGGGTGAGTAATTAATGTCAGAATTTTAATTTTTGGATGAACTATCCCTTTAACAATGAGGTTCAATCCCTTAACATTTGTTAATGCATTAGATTACTACTACATTAGATTACTACATTCTATCTGTGTGTTGTTGTTGTCTCCGTGTACTGGAAGCTTGTGACACTATAACAAATTCCTTGTATGTGCAAACATACTTGGCAATAAAGCTCTTTCTGATTCTGATTCTGATTCTGAGATTAGATGTGATTTGAGGAAAAACATAATTGTGATTTTCCTGATAACAATTGTGATTGTGATTTCAAATGTGTTTAGGTTTGCTGTGCTTGTTTGTAGGGCTGAATAATAAATAAATAAATAAATAAATAATATCCAAATTTCAGAATTTTCAAATGTTCAAACCACCCAGCTTTTATTTTGAAAGAAAGATGCAGAAAAGCTGAAGAGCTATTTTGTTGACACGCATGTATTTATTTAAAATGCAGCCTTTTCAATTTGATAATCACACTAAGCAATACCACAATTTCAGTTTTATTTATTTTTATAAATCAACATTAACCTAGATACACATTGTAACCAATACACATTGTATTAATGTTATTAAAATAAAAGTTAGTTCATAATATTAATTTACGCTAACAAATTGAACTTCACTGTAAGTTTACTACCATTTTATATAAGTGGACTTTAGCTGAAATAAAAAATTTAAATAAAATATTGTTTTAAAATCTGCACCGTAACTCCGATTTTGGTCAACCTTGATGACTCACCAATCAAATTATTATTATTATTATTAAAATTAAAATTAAAATTATTACCTCTGTGTTAAATAAATAAATAAATAATATCCAAATTTCAGAATTTTCAAATGTTCAAACCACCCAGCTTTTATTTTGAAAGAAAGATGCAGAAAAGCTGAAGAGCTATTTTGTTGACACGCATGTATTTATTTAAAATGCAGCCTTTTCAATTTGATAATCACACTAAGCAATACCACAATTTCAGTTTTATTTATTTTTATAAATCAACATTAACCTAGATACACATTGTAACCAATACACATTGTATTAATGTTATTAAAATAAAAGTTAGTTCATAATATTAATTTACGCTAACAAATTGAACTTCACTGTAAGTTTACTACCATTTTATATAAGTGGACTTTAGCTGAAATAAAAAATTTAAATAAAATATTGTTTTAAAATCTGCACTGTAACTCCGATTTTGGTAAACCTTGATGACTCACCAATCAAATTATTATTATTATTATTAAAATTAAAATTATTACCTCTGTGTACTGTGGACCGCCCGAGTCCCACAGGCACTCCAGCAGTTCCAGCCTGCTGAAGGAGAGGTCAGAGGTCATGGCTCGGGTGTGCCGCCCTGCGCTACGCATCTCACAAGCCAGCTGCACTGCTGCACCGGTCACCCTAACGACCAGAGGTCAGAGAGAGTCAAAAGGAGTGTGTGGACATGCATATACCGTAGTTGAGCATAGCAGGTAATTCCTGCCATACCTGAGGTGGGAGTGGGGACATGCTTTAGCAAAGTTTCCTCTCAGATTGTGGAAGTCTCTCTCACTGAACATGCTGTCCTTAAAGAACCCAAGCTCACGGAAAAACAACTGTGACACCTCAGCCAATGAGGACAGCCCATCTGGCCCGGGAGGCGGGTCCTGCTCTAACAGAGTAAGTGTGACTCCGCCCAGAGAGAGGCGGAGCAAGGAGTCTGGTTTCAGCGGCTCTGATTGACTGCTTCGAGATGACCGTTCTATTGGGGGAAAAAAAACAAAGACTGATGACGGATTGCAAGAGAAATCTATAATTGAATGCAGTGACACACACAACATGTGTTGTTTAAAACAGGTGTAGATACATACTGGGAGGTCTGCTACATTGAGGCAAACTAGATAAGGATCCTGGTACAGGATAACGACGAGGACAGTTGAGCATTCCCTGTAAGAGACATATAAAAGTGCAAGCCAATCATACACTGTACATAGATAGCTGATGAATAACAGGTTGATGGACTTTTTTAGTTAAACATTGCTGCAAGTGAGTTTTGAAAATGTAGCCTATCAATTAATATGTGGTCAGAAAAAGTACATGCATAATAATAAGAATAAAAGATAAAAGAATTAGCAAAATAGATGTGACATGCTATACAGCAAATCAAATGCGTCTTTACAAAAAAAGTTTTTGCAAGCTGTTCAAACCAAGCCTGGCGCCAATTTTTTGTCATTCTCTGAAAAACGTTTGGACACCTGAATGAACATCAGAAATACAAAATATGCTGAACTTCATTAGAGAAGACCTTTACACCATTGAGTTCATAACAGCACTGACCTGTGGAGACAGAGGGTTTGTTTGAACCAGGCTGCTCTGGCTATGAATGGACGACTCCATATCGCTGTCTGACAGTTCATTCCCAGAGCGTGTTGACAACACACTGCTGGTCATACAGCCAAGACCCATCGAATAAAACATCTCTGAGAAACAAGAGACAAAAATAAGAAATTTTGGCAAATAATGAACTATAAATAGTTCCAGAAAATGAAAATCAGGAGAATAAAATCAGACATTGCAATTTTCGTCAAGAGTCTGAATCCTTACTTGTAAAATGTATGTTTGATCAGATTTAAACCTAAATTTCATGGATTTCATCCAATGTCAAAGTGAGGAACAAATTGGGTTTAATTAAGACAGAAACTGATGTGAAAATGTTCTTATGCATTGCATACACCAACTGAATAGCAAGTGTACAAACTTTCTGGCATTCATATAACTAACAGTTAATCAATTAATTCAACATTGTATGTGAAAATGTAAAGATAAATAGGGATATACAGTGGTCAACATTTGAAGTGGATCAAAACCTTTCATCAAAGTTTTGCTGTATATGCAAAAAATGGCTGTATATGGTCTACTATTTAAAACAATAGTATGTGAATTAGTGTGTTATTTAGCAAATGGCATCCAGTTATCAAAAAAAGAATCTATAAAGAGAAGTTAAACACCCTAACTCTTATTGCTTCCTGGCATGTTGATACTAGCTATGTTTCCATCCAAAGATGTGAATTTATCTTATGCGCAAAACTGGAATATCGCATAAAACATTTGCGAAAAAAGCACCATTTCCATCCAACGAGTCAAAAGCCCTATTCGGACGGTAATTGTTTCTCAGGGGGACGTAAGTGATTTTCACCATTTACAGGGGGTAGTTGGTGATTTTAAAGGAACACGCCACTATTTTTGAAAATAGGCTCATTTTCCATCTCCCCTAGAGGTAAACAGTTGAGTTTTACCGTTTTCTAATCCATTCAGCCGATCTCCGGGTCTGGCGGTAGCACTTTTAGCTGCAGCTTAGCATAGATTATTGAATCTGATTAGACCGTTAGCATCTTGCTCAAAAATGACCAAAGAGTTTCTATAATCTACAATATTTCTATTTCTACAATAATCCTAACAAAATATTGACTCTTCTCGTCTCACCTCCGTTCTTCATGCTGGTGACATATGGTTCTGCTTCCAGCTCCAGATCTCTGTCATACATTTCTGAGTTCAGCTGCTTACTAAGATCCTCTTCAATCAATCGCAGATCATCAGAACCCAGAGGCCTAGAAACACCCCCACCGGACACACCACCACCACCGCCATCTGACAACAGAGAGAGAAAGAGCACAGTCATTCCACTGGACACTGTCAATCAGACAAGTACATCCAGGCATAAGAACAGTTTTTTTCCACAGGTGATCTCCATTTTGAACAGCAGCTAGCACACCCACCACTAGTCTAGTTGTTGTTTATAGATCAATATCCTTATGGTGTTTACGCAACCTAGGGGTTAGACAGTAGAATATGTTTTAGCATTTTAATAGTAATAGAATTAATCATTTAAATAATAGAATATCAATCATGTAAAACATATTTTTATATGTTTATACAATAATATATTTAAATATATGTTCAGCATGTGTTCTAATTACTACCTAAAAAATAGAAATAAGGTAGAAAAACAGTATAAATTTTTATTTTTCTTTATATCCTCTTTTGCATATATATATATATATATATACACACAGCGGGTAAAATAAGTATTGAACACGTCACCATTTTTCTCAGTAAATATGTTTCTAAAGGTGCTGTTGACATGAAATTTTCACCAAATGTTGGTAAAAACCCAAGTAATCCAAACATACAAAGAAAACAATAAAAATAAGTTCATGTTAATTAAGTTATGTGTAATAGAATGGAATGACACAGGGAAAAAAGTATTGAACTACTGACATTTATTTAATACTTAGTACAAAAGCCTTTTTTGGTAATGACAGCTTTAAGACGCCTCCTGTATGGAGAAACTAGCCGCATGCATTGCTCAGGTGTGATTTTGGCCCATTCTTCCAGTGTCTTCAAATCTTGAAGGTTCTGTGGGCCTCTTCTATGAACTCTTAGCCTAACGCAGTACACGTAGCAATATATATATATATATATAAGTACTTTTAGCTCCTGGAAACCATATCAAATTCCCTGCACGTTTTGCACACTTGGCAAATAGAGAACATTTTGATTCTGAAAAGGGATAGTTCACCGAAATATGAAAGTCCTGTCATCATTTACTCACCCTCAAGTTATTTCAACCAAGAAATACTGTTTCTTTTGTTGAACACAAAAGAATATATATATATATATATATATATTCTTTTGTGTTCAACAAAAGAAACAAGAAACTTGTACAGGTTTGGAACAACCTGAGAGTGAGTAAATGATGATATAATTTTCATTTTTGGATGAAGTATCCCTTAAGGCTGGTGCAAACAGCCATATGATGATTGCTGATCATCATACAGCAAACACAGAACAGAGTGCTCATGTTACCTGATGTCTCGATGCAGAGGGAGGACATGAGGTCCGTCAGGTGTGTGATCTGACTGGGGGACAGCAGCAGGTGGAGACACCCGACTTTACCGTCCAACTCAAACTAAGAGGAAATTCAAATCAGTTAATAAGGAAAGTAATATAAATCTCCTGTTTTGCAGTAATGAAAGCCCTTCATTCATGATGAAACCGAATTATTTGATCATTTGATCTCACTGATTCAGAAGATCATGCTTAAAACATTCCCATTCAGTCTTTATTTTTATTGTGTACACAAACCTTGGGCCCAGGCAGCATTTCATTCTGTTTGATTTTGACCGTCGTCTCTATGAATCCAGAGCATTGTCCAATCAGCAGAGGCTCGGGGGGCTTCGGGGTGGGATGTAATGATTGTGGGGCATCAGAGGCATTATCACCTCTATCATTTTCATCCATCTTATCCATCTCCCTGCTGCTCGCCATGTCATCAGAATGAACTAGCCCCTAAATTGATGAATTGAAAATCCATTATAACTTTATGCTTGCCATAGCAACATTTATATTTATTAATTTATCAGATGCTTTTAACCAAAACCACTTACAAATAAGGAACATCACAAGCAATTTATCATGAGAAGCAACAATATTTGTAGTACACTGTGTTAAATATGAATACACAAGCTAGCGTGTAAGTGAAATGCAGAAAAAAAAGGGTAAAAAAATAGGAGTCATAGTAAGTGCAAAGTCACTAACTAACAGGTTGTATAGTTTCCCTGACCTGTGATCCTCCGAGAGTCTCATAGAGCAGCTGTACGGAGTTGAGCTGAAGGATCTTGTGCAGGAAGGCTGGTGGCTGGTGGATGTCTACAGGCACTGTCTGGCTTGAGTCTCTCACAGCCTCATCACAATAGTCCACTCTGCAGTATCACATGTTACCACCAGGGACAGAACACAGATTGGTCACAAACAATGGAAAGCACTCTAGAGCAGGGTTGCCAGGATTTCACAACAAAACCCATTCAATTGCTACTCAAAGCTAGCCCAAAACTAGCCCAATCGTGTTTTGAGGGGGTCCCCCAGTAAAAATAGCATTCAGGAGGGTAAAATACATGTTTTTTGTCGGGGTTCCCCTGTTAAAATAAATATCACATATTGGGGTCGCTTCAACCCGCAGACATGAAAAACAACCTGTGGCAACAATGTTAAAGTAGCCCCATTCCACGGGAAAACCGCGGACTTGGCAACACTGCTCTAGAAACTCAAGCATGCAAGGTTTGTTGTGAAGGATATGATGTTTATGAGTCAATGAGTATTTTTAGTTTAACCCGTGAATCGACTAAAAGAATGCAAAGATTTTCAAGTATTTTGACTGGGAAAAATATGTTTTTCCAGTAACAACTAACAAGCACTACTGTTCAAAGGTTTAGGGTCATTACAATTTAGAAATTAATTATTTTATTTAGCAAGAGCATATAAAATGATCAAATGTGACAGTAAAGACATTTATGTACAAAAGATTTCTATTTCAAAATTTGTTCTTTTGAACCTTCTATTCATCAAAGAACTCTAAACAAAATGTATCACAGTTTCCACAAAAATATTAAGCAGCACAGCAGTTTTTAACATTGATAATAATAAGACATTTTTTAAACACCAAATCAGCATATTAGAATGATTTCTGAAGGATTATGTGACACTGGAGTAATGATGCTGAAAATTCAGCTTTGCACCACAAGAATACATTACATTTTAGAATATATTAAAATAGAAAACAGCATAAGAGAAAAATCCATGCCATTCTTCAATGGCACATCTACCTGGGTAACCATATCTAGCACATCACCATACTTTATTAATAAACAATAAAAACAACAAAATGCATCCATAAATGCACAAAGATGTAATTCATGGCCTCACCGTTTAATGCGCATCTCTAAGGCGACCCCAGTCTCAGCGTCCAGGGAATGGTGTTCTACTCGCACGATAGTGTCCAGAAAGGTGACTTTTATTCGACGCAAGACTGCAAACACACAAACAATATGTGACAATATACAGTTAGCCAGTCATCTAACAGTTTTACTTCATGATGCAACAATACAAATGTACAGAATCACACTCCTAGACACAAGAAATGCTACACACCTGTCTCGATGGTCTGTGCAAACATTTCCAGCCCCTCCAGTGGAGCAGGCGGCTCTTCTGACGCCTCGGGTGGGTCCTTCAGGCATTCCTGGGCCAGCTGCATGCTGGACGTCATGCATGATGACCACCCTTGGGAATCCCAGTTTCCGTCTAAATGAGATCAGAGAAAACAATTAAACAATAAGTCAGTCCTGTGTAAAATATGGCTTTATGTATTAAACCAAATGAGTGCACAAAGAACGCTCCACAGAACTCACTGGTTCTGTATTTGGGTCTGCATGTTATTTGCAATCCAGTGACTTCAAGGGTGCAGTGTTCTGTCACGAGTGCCGCCCAGGGAATAGTCACTGCGATGCTGTTCACGAAACCTTCAACAATCTCCAGCGGAGCTCCCAATGAGTCCAACAACTCATTCACTGCCTGAAAAGAGGATTCAGAGAATAGTTAAGGAATCTGAAGGTCAAGTGATAACATGTAAGAACAGTAGATGTCAAAATGACTGTGAAACAGGGGAAGGATGTAGTGCTAGATCAGGGGTTTTCAGTCTTTTAGATGCCATAGAATATAATCATCCCCATCCTAAAATTAAAAAGGTGTCTATATATTTGTATGTACAATGACCCAATTTATACTGTAAAAAAAAAGTGTAAAATAATATTTGAAAAAGTGTTTATATTATATATAATGCTGTACTGTTTGATGTATTTAAATTTTAATTAATTTAATTAAATTTAAATATTATTTACATTTTTGTTTACACTTTTACACTGACTTATTAGCACTCCTTTGCAGGCCCAACTCTGTAAAACTAAATGACAACTCCACAAAAATTTAAAAAGGCAATAAAGTAATTAGACTCAAAATGTGAAAGCAAAAGTTAGTAAGCCTTGATCACTGTGACTTAAGACCAGGAAGAAGATCTAAGATGCAGCATTTTCTGCACAAGTCATCAAACTCTTGGAAACATAAGTGCTTCCTCAACTAACAAGATGTGTTGATCTCATACTCAAGACTAGATATTGCGAAATACTGGAAATAAGGGCCACTTGGACAAGGAAACTGGCCTGGGCATGTCTTACCCCACACTTACCCACACATCCAGGTTAATTTCTCTAATGACCCCGCTGCCATTGTACAGGTCCAAGCTCAGCTGGTCCAAACTGAGTCTTTCCTCCAAGAAGTGGCCCAGGTAGTGTTGCAGGAGGTACCGACAGGCCCGTTTCTTTATTGAGCCCGACCAGGGGAAGAGCCACCGAGACATAGGTCCAGAGCAGACGGGGAGAGGGAGCAGAGAGGCGGCGGAACAAGACACCAGTCCTGCATAACAGACCTAAACCCCCCTCGGTAGTGTGTGAAAACGAGAATACAGTAATACAAGCGTACTACGATGGACAAGAAGGGGTGAAACGTCTAACTTCCTGTCCTTTTGACACCAAAATCCCCTGGTTCTTCGTTTTTGAACGTCCGGTTGTCCAAAGCAGCGTTTAAAAGAGGATATTTGTGTTGAAACGGGTCACTCCGGTTCTACTTTTAATAATAAATATCACTGAAATATGCGACAGGTCCTCTGGCCAACGGAGTGTTTATTGTTTTCATACCCGGACTGAACGAGTGTGCGTCATGACGTCAGCGTAGCTGAAGATGCCGGAAGTTGGATACGTCATTTCGCCATGTTGGGACGGTCAACTTGAACGCTTCACCCAGACGTACACATACGACTAGAAAAATTACTGTACCCAAACTTACGTAGATTTATATTATTTTTTTTATTATGTAGAGCCTTATGTAATAAAGATTCGATTAAGTTCCATATAATTACTGATATATAATAACAAATTCAACATTCCAACTAGTTCTGAATTAATTCTGTATTGATTAGTAGTTTTATACAAAAGCCAATTTAGTCACATACCCAAAAGTTTACCTGGAATTTTGTCTGGTAAGGGTCAAATATTCCTCTAGTGCTGTAATGATTTTAGTGTTTCATATTGATTTCTTGATCTTGCTGAGTAAACCAACTTTATTGCCGTGAAAACATCACATTTAACACAACACCAAAAAAAGCTCAGCACATACTTCAGACATCACAATTAAAACAGAAAAAGTGCTTTTAAAATTAATGCAGGAACAGTGCTGTAATTTATTCAAGCATAAACCTGAGGTATAACCCTTTTAAGAAAAAAAAAAAAAAACTCAAATAAAACTATAATTAATATAAAACAAGTTTGTTTCATTTCCGTTTAACACATCATAATTAAATGCCTGCTAAACAACAAATAAAACTATGTACATACATATGCATTTCTGTATGTTTGTTGTTTTCATTTTATGAAAGCAGCTTCTGGGATCTTTCCTTGAGCCTAAAGGAGACAAAATATTATAATGAATAATATGATAAATTTCAAATTCCAAAGCCTCAAAATGGATGCAATTAGATTTCAAAAGCACATGGTCCACCTCAGATCTGAACACTAATCAACATAAATTAACAGCAATGATTTACAACATGTTCACAAATCACCTGATCTCTGTTTTGAGAAGGTTAATCAGCTTTTGAAACATTTAAACTAGTGGGGCTTTCAATGGTTAATGCCAATATATTTTAATTTCTGATTATTTATTAGCAGCAAACTGAACTGCTGAAATGAGGGCATAATGAACATATTGCATTTCTATCAATTGGCCAAGCAGATTCATACCTTGAGTTCTGTGAAAATCTGAGCAGCTCGGTGAAAATCCCATGCGTTATCCTGCAGACATCTGACAGCAATACACAAGCCTTAACAACAGGGTTGGGATATTATTGACTAGGGGTGGGCGGTATGACCAAAATCTTACATCAAAGTAAGGGCAACTTTACATCAAAAGTAACAATATATAGTCATCTTCACTGGAAATTCAATGATTTTTTTTTCTTTTCTAAATAACAAAGTGATGATGCCTATTTTAAAATTAAACATTTTTTCAAATGAAAACTACTTCATTTTTCGGGACTCTCATTTGTAAATAATGTCTTGCTAATGCAGTATAACCTACTTCTTTGGATGCAAATAAACAGAAAATAAATAGCAAAATAGCTGCTTTTGTATTAAGCCTCAGGAAACCTTTGCAGGTGTTTTGAGTTGATTAGCTGATTGGCATGTCACCATATTCTAATTTGTTGAGATAGTGAATTGGTGGGCTTTTGCTAAATGTGAGCCAAAATCATCACAATTAAAAGAACCAAAGACTTAAACTACTTCAGTCTGTGTGCATTGAATTTATTTAATACACGAGTTTCACAATTTAAGTTGAATTACTGAAATAAATTAACTTTTCCACGACATTCTAATTTATTGAGATGCACCTGTATTTCCCCACATAATTTATAGAAAGAAACTTCTATATCTAGTTCTATAATTAAGATTTGCAAGTATAAGGGCATGGTTTTTGCTCTGTGCTCACTTTTGAGACCATTCCAGGTTCATTTCAGACATCTGGGAGAAAGCGGAGAGCATTTCCTGCTGGGATGCCGTGAGGGTGGGCAGCACTGGGCTATTCGAGGGGGCCGGTGCTGAGGGGGCAAATGCACAGCGTATCTCCTCGCTGGTAGCGTTCCTCACAAAGAGCTCGTCGTTCACGATACACAGACTGCAACAAATACCAATCAACTTTATGTTAGTAAGAGCTAATTTTGACAAAGTGACTAAGGATGATTGCTTTAACTGTCAGCTGAAAGGTCAGACATGCACATACATGAACTCTGGGAAATTCAGTGTGGGGAAAGCCCGTAAATGAAGATAACCATATTAAGTAAGAAGTGAGAAGAGAGTAAGAGTGTTTATATTTGTTCATGCTTGTGATTTGCTGCTGGATTTTCCTACCCAGAATTCTGAGCTGGAACTGTGATGAAGACTCTGGAGAAAGCCTTGACACGGTCTCTCAATTTGTCATCAGCTGAAGAGAGGAAAACAAACATTGAGTTGAACACAGCGCTATTTGATCAACTGTTATGCTGACACATGTAACTGCATTCAAGCAAGACTCACCTTCTTTGAACACTCCACTCACTGTGAACACTAATAAAGTCCTCTACGGAGAAGGCAGGAAAACAACAAAATGTAAAAAAAAATGTAAATTACAAATTAAGAGCTTCAGTGATAGCAGTGTTAAAATCATTGAGGAACTCACTGAGTATGTGTTGACATCAACATTGACTGAATTCATGTCATGCTGGGTCTTTGGGAGCTCACTGAGGAAGGCGACTACAGTCAGGCGGGAGCGTTTTAGCAAGTGGAACCAAGCGGCTGTAAAGAAGAAGATGACTGTACATGACACATACTGATCTGTTTTTTTTTTTACTTTATTCTTTGCTTGTTTCTCATGTGTGAAACATACAGGAATCTTTGATGTTCTTGATGTTGCGGCTGTGTTCATGATAATTTTTTAACCTGCACCTGCAAAATTATAGGAAAAAGAAATGAGACCAAAAATAAATTTGTATATTATATACAATTCTGCACATTTACAAACACTAAAAATATTTGTACATTTAAATTTACTTATTTCCCCACTAAGAAAATTGTGCAGCGTGAATTTTTTTTTTTTACACAAATCTGGATCACATAAAAAAAAAATCATAAATGTTAACAATGATAGTTTTAATATAAAATAATTATGTAACATAGTAAAGACAAATAAAGCCTTCTTTTAAGGACCATTACGTTTTTTTTTTTACATTGTTTTTTTACATTGGGACATTATACTATTAATAATATTTTTAATGTTTTTATTTCTATATATTTTCTGTTTCATTTTGTTGTGTTTTGTCATTTTAGTAGGTTTAAATACATTATATGAATAATCACGTCAACAAATTCCAAGGTTGTCCAGTTGTCAGATCTTGTATGAAACGCATCCTTCTCACCCAATCGACACATACAAATTTCAACCCATTTGTCCCCTCAACTTGTCAACCTACAATATTATAGGTTTATATATATTATATATATATATTATTTTTACATTTTTATTAATATAACTTTTAGTTTTAGTTATTTTAGTACACTAGGTATTTTTTTTTTTACACGGGAGGAGAAGACTCAGGTGGTGCTCCGGTGAAAAAAAACAAATATACATGCAAATTGAGAAAACACTTCAAAAGCCTATGGTTTACTTGATTAAATATGAGTGCTGCAAGTTGCAAAATCAGGTGCTGCGCTGCTTTGTTTACTGCAGTTACCAGGGAAATGGCTATATTCCTGGCGTAAAGCAAATGAATGAAGAGAGAATTTCTGCTTTTTGGTTTAGTCCAAAGCCAAAAACGTCCCTTGTTTTTACGCCCCAGCCCCAACTCCAAGCATCCCCATATATACCTGTATATATAATTGCTTATTAAAGACAGCAGAGTGCCATCAAAGATGAGTGGTGTTTTACCTGGAGAGATGGTTTATGGATGGCAGGCTGAGAGAGAAGCAGGCATCATCGTGATATGCCTCCAGCAGCAGCTGTCTGTCCCCAGAGTCATACACACAGTAATAACTGCCACAAAACAAACACAAACACACATCACTGCTGACAAATGCATGCTTTACAGAATACTAAAGATCATCCTACAGGAAAACAATTGCACACATGCACTTACTGTAGCAGAAAACGATGAATGAGTCCCTGGATTTCATTCGATACAAAGTGGCTGCCCTGAATTAGTTACACAGACACATCCAGTCAAAAACTTCACATTAACACTCCTCAGGTCAATATAACACTGCAGACTCTTGGGTTACCTTGCAAGCAGGGATGTTTGTGCCTGTTTCCACGTCAAAGCAGATTGGAGGTGGAAGCACATGACCGTCCTACAGAAATAACACATCCGATTCACTCATGCAAATGCTAGTGATCACATTTTGATGATAGATTATAAATACAAAGATTGTTTCTCTAAAATAAAATAATTATGCACATTAACAGGTAAACAGTAACAATTTAGATTTCTTATTGACTTAAAATTTCTGTATTACAGTTGGAAAAGTGTACAATGACACTTAAGCAATGTGTTCTTTCGGCAGCCAGCCTGGAATCAGGCTTCCTGTCCTTGACCGATTAATGATTGACTGACTTTATTTCTGACAAACACTAATAACTGTACCGTACATTGAGTCCTGTTAGTTCAAAACATTATTGACAAATAAAAAACCCTCACCAATCTGAGAAGCCTGGGAAATCTCTCCCGAACAGCACTGTCACAAGACAAGAAAGACGAGAGGAAAACAGTGACGCACCTGATCATTCCAGCAGGCACACACACATCACAATCACCTGTGCACTCCCAAGCCACTTCTCCTGATTTTTATTTGTTTGTGTATGCAAGCAAATGATTTCTAAAATCTGTCATAAAATCATTTGAAACAATGCTGTACCAGGTTCAGCACAGAATATATTTATTTTTATACATTTTAACCCTATTTGCAACACTCTCTCTCTGGGTGGATTGGTTAAATTTTTAGATTTTAAACCCAACTGCTGTCAGTCACTTACACCCCAGTACAAAACGCAAGATCACAAGAAAATAAAAATCTTTCACCTAGAAATGGCTTACGGAAACATTCTCTGATTATTACATTTGAATAAGAGAAAGTATTTCTACTTCAACAGACATAGACGAGTTCTCAAATGACTTTGTGAATGAAAGCCATACAAGCTCAGTGAAAAACAATTGTGTTGGGTGCTGTGGCTTTATTATACATTTATGAATGCACATGAGTGTATTTAAGAATAATTGATGACTGCAGACTCAACAGGTTATCAGAAAAAGCAGGGTTATTCAATTGGTGACCCACCATTCATCTTCATTCAAAAGAAGCATTAAGCTGTACACTTATGCTGAATGTATCCGTGAAAACCAATATATACTTTGTGAGTTTACTCCCAGACACCATCATTAAATGGTGTGCAACATCAAGTGAGAAGCATCTAAGTTTGACACACACATATCTGTTAGAAGCCACAATTTACTCTATAATTAATCTATTTTCAAATCAGATGAAACAGCCTCACATGACTGATGACGAAAACAGGAGAAACATTGTGTTATGAATCAACAAATTAGAATAAATCCCCAAATCACCACCCTTACAAACATTTACCATGAATGTACTGTAATAACACTAATCGTATTAACCATGGTTTGGCAGAAATGTGGTATATTCAATTGAATACTAAATTATTAATATTGTCATGTATTACATTTATTATGGGAGTAAAGGAATATAATTAATTTTTGTTATAAAACTATGGCAGTTTGTGTGCGTGTGTAGTTTTTTTTTTTTTTACCAATGTTTAGACTATTGTTTTTAAAACAAATATAGTTTTGTTGAAACCTTAACCAAAATCATAGTTACATTTAACCATATTAGTGAGAAGGAGCCATGCATATTCATGCAGTCAGAATACTTTAATTTAACTCTATAAATGTTGATGTTTTACTATTGTTAATATCAGTTCACTTTACTGCTGAATAGGCTTTTCAGGTTGATTTCTCATTTTATAGGCCTCCCTCCCCCTTGGCCCACCTCAAATCTTCAGTCTGATCATCTGGCCCTCAAGTGAAGCTAACTGAAGAGCCCTAAAGTAGTCTTGGCATTGATGCCCTGATAACCATCAAAAAGTATCTTCTAGCGAAACAGCCAATGAACCCCAGCTTAAAAATAGCCATGAACATAAAGTTAGCTATATGAGAGAAACAGTAATACAATGAAACCGATCCCAGCAGCTCCAAAACAGAGTCCTCTTTACACCAGTACTGACTTGCCACATAGACATAAACAGTCTTATTTCATTTTATTTTTTTATTAGTAGGATGAATTTATCCCTGTTTTCAGGAGCACTTCCCAACTCACACTCTCTAGCATTAAAAGTGGTCCCCAAGCCATTTTTATACAACAACAACATGGCGTTTTGGAACAGCCATCTTCCTTCCATCAACTTCCTTCTTCATTGTCATCACTGTAGGCTTTTTGTAGTAGACAGAGAGTGGGATCTTATCAGTCACTGGCTATCCAGAAACGGCAGTCTGATTGGAGCAGGAATACAGGGACGGGGGAAAAGATGAACATGAGCAAACAACATTTACTACATTTTGCAGCAAAAAAACGTGGACTGATTTCTCTTGAAATGCCACCATACTATTTCCTGTGGATGTCTTGATAAGCAAGAAAAGTTTGATATTTTTTATTTAAACTTATTAGAACTATCTTGAAAAATAGCCTATATATTTATTATTATTATTTATTCAGTTCCCTGTTATGAAGGCTGGGATCAACTTCATGCATAACCGATGTTGATTTTAAAGGAAAGAAAAAAAAAAAGAGTAATGGTTTTGTTAAAGCCCCAGAATCAACACAGGAGATTTGGAGAGAAGGAAGAAAGAAAATCCAACTGAAATGAAAGAAATTCTGGACATGTCAGTCCGTCACACACTTGCACATGTGAATGCACTTATAACAAATGAACAGAGTGCCATATAAAAGACAGAAATATCGCAATTTATTCAGACAACTTACAATATGTTCTGAACCACAGTAACTAAATAATGATGGATACTCTGAAGCAGATGAAATAAACCACAAGCAATGAATTATGAATGGTTGTTCATGTGCTAACATCTGCAATCCCAAGTTTTGATGATTATTTTTGATGATATTCCAGGTATATTAAGTACTACAAGACTGTGTGGGACAGAATGGGACTGTAGAGACTTTATGGACTATAAGACTGTACTGGACTCTGTAACTGTGTCAGGGTGAAACATCATGGATGCTACTTAGATAACCTGAAAAAAAGTCCATCTTCTTTTAGGCCAGTGGTTCTCAACCTTTCTGACTTCAAGGCCCTCCATTGTCCACAACGATATCCAAAATGCCTGTTTTCTTAAATTTACATTTTTCAGGTCTATAAATCACGTTTAAAATTAAGCTACCTTATACCTTCAGGCTTTTAAAGAACTAGTGATTTACTATAGTTACTTTACCAACAGGTCTAGGATTCATGTCTATGAGGAACCGTGATTATTTTAAGTATTCTTTCAGCTAATTATACCAACTTTGACCTTTACCCTTGCCGTGTCACTGGCACTGACCTGATGTATGTGGTCTGATCTTTGAAGGCATCACACAGAGGGTTCCTGTCCAACCAGAGCTCCACCAGCCTGAACCCCTTCACCTTATCCAGCTCTTGCTCTGACTTGAGCTGCAAACAGAGAATGAAAAGACAATATAGCAACACAACAGATACTGAAAGTAAATTCTGTGGAGCTTGCAGTCGGGTAAATAGAAACTGAAGAATTACAGATTGAGGCTAATACTGTGAGACAATAGTGCTAACAGATGATAACAGCAGGGCCTGAGCGACTCTCACCTCATTATGAGACAGGTTCAGGGACTGCAGGTTAGGGGCTTTGTTCACAAGTTCTGCAATGTCAGTCAGCTTACACAGCTTGTTGTTACTCAGATTCAAACACAACAACTAAGAAGGATCAAAGAAAGAGAAATGTTACTTCAAACTCTTAATTATTTGTTTAAAAAGAAGGATTTTCCAAAATTAGGAACATAAACTGCTGGGGGAGTTGATGAAATGCTAATAATTAAACCATAAAAAATATCAAGATGTATATTAACTTTTATTTAAAAATATTAAATATATTTTATTTAGAAATGACTATGACATTTTTCAAGAAAGTATTTTATGTCAAAGAGCTTCAACTGACCAAAAAGTCTGAATCCCTGCCTCATACTAAGTTATTGTATGGCTTCAGAAGACTTAGGAATATAGAATATAGGACACAAGTCATATGAATCACCTTTGTGGGACTTTTTGCTTTTCACTATTGCTTTCATGTATGGAAAAGACTGTCAATATTCTGTCAATAATCTCTTTTTGCGTTCCACAGAGAAGACAAAGACAACAATTTGAAAAAACATGACAGTTACAAAATTATATTAGAATTTTCTGAATTTTAGGAATCCAATTTAGGAATGAATCTGAGCATTCCAACAATAATACATTTCAAAAACAAAACAGAACAAAACTTTTAAATATCTAAACTTAATATAAGACGATATCTTATTTCTAAACAACACATTCAAACAGAAACCTGATTAGGAAAGTACTGACGCCATATTTTGTGCAATATCACACATATCAAAGACTAAGATGGCACTACAGATCAGAAATGAATCTGAAAAGTCTGTTTGTCTGTGTGTTAACAGTTGTCCTTTGCTTTCATCTGAATTCTTGATTATAGAATCACATGTGACACAATTGCTGATCAACGACTATATTCTTTCATCTACTATTATGAAAGTGTTAAGATAAATAAAGTGTTTCCTGGAATCAGAGTCTGAGCATGGCCTACCCACAGCTGTTTACCCTAGAAATAAAACTGCATAGTTTAATGTTTTCACCAGCTGGATGTTTTGATTTCCTATTTTTGTCCAGACATTGTGACGGAACCTTACTGGATTAGATGAAGTTACTATATTTATTCTTTAGTGCTGCCAGATGAAGGAAACCGGTCATGAAGCAATGAACACCTGGCCTTTGACACACTTCTTGAATGATCATAGTAAACCTTCATGGATCTTAAAGCTACTCTGTCATAAACATTATTTAGCCGATTGCCTGAATGCCAAGAGAATGTAGTCCCGTGTCTTAGAAAAAAATCAATCAAAAAAAGAAAGGCCTAACATTACCCAATTTGATGATGCTGAGTCCAAAAATATTAATAAAAACATTCCTTCATGTACAGATTGTTTCACAAAATAAGAATTTAGATTTTTCAAATCATATGCATATATCGTATGAATCAGCTTTAATGTACTTATAAAAATAAAAGCAGTCAAATTTCTTCAAAGTGTATCAATTAACTTAGTCTGCAAAGGAGTGAACAGGTATGTTCAAATACTCAAATTAATCTGAAATAACTTTACATAAACAAGTTTATTTAAAAAAAAAGCCTTTTCACAAAATCTGTATTTTCTGTCACTGTTGAGTAAAAAAAACAACTGGGTCATGTTTGCATTTTCTTCTGTCACTGGCAATAATCCTAACTTTAAAATCAGGATTAAGCATAAAATAATGTGTTAGAATCATTGATGCATGTAAAAATGGACTGAGAACTGAACAAATAGTTGTAATGCGGCTCAGAGGGAAAGGACAGGAATCATGTCTTTATGGCAGTTTCTCTAGTGATTATGGGATAACACAAGACTTCCTCACCTTACAAATGATTGTCGAAAGCAAAAATGCTATGAAATGCACATATTTTGTCAGAAAGTGTGCCATACTTAAGTAAAACAGACACTATTTTTGGAATCAGCACCCAAAATTAGTAATAAACAGCTACTAGATTTCATTCAACTAAATTTAGAATCACTATTACTTATGTTTAGGTTAATGATTTGAACAAACCCTTAAGCCTTACCTCTGGGATATTCTCTTGTATGATTTTGATCACAGCTTGCATGCAGTTTTCTTGATTTAAGATCATCTCAATATTATGGGAAACCAGGTCTGATGGAAAAAGAGTCAAATATAAAAATAAACCCATCATTTTGAAAAGCTCTCAACTAAATTTCTGACAAACAGGTAACTGTGGTAATCTGGACTTGGGAAATCTATGGTACTTTGTGCAGTGTCAGGGTTTTGGTTATTCAAACAGTATAGTTTTACCTGGATCAGTGCGGATACTGTTCAGGTCGAGAGACTTCTGGGAACCGTCAAAGCGTTTGGACATGCAATGCTTCACAAAAAAAGAACAACAGTTAAATGCAACTGCTGCCCCCTGTAGACCACAAGTGTTACTGCAGCAAGAAGCAGCTGTAGGTCAAACCTTTAAACGCTCCATATCTTGTGGCTTCAGCTCGCTTTGGAGAAAAGGGGGACTGGAACAACTGTTCATAAGCACGGCCACCTGGAGAACAAGAAACATGTCAGCAGTTTCAAGATAGAACACAGTAATGAGAACGAGATGAATGCTTTACAATAGATGAGACAGCGCTGTACCCTGTTCCCTTCACTGTCTGTGACTCTGCGTGTGAGTTTGCACAGAGCGCTAGCAGCAGCAGCATCCTCCAGATAGAAATGAACTTTATGTCCCTCTGTGGAGTACTAGACAAAAACACAGAGAGACACAGTCAGACACATCAGCTGAAAATAATGTACTGGTAATTCAGTGATTTAACAATTCACTGACAGGTTAGTTAAAAGGTTAACTCATGTCTTTGAGAGTATGTATTGATATATCACCCCAAAATAATAAGTAAAGAATAATACATTTTATTTTGAAAAAAAGAAGAAAAAAAGAAATCCATTTTCTGTGTTAAATGTGCTGTGTTAAAATAATAGCAGTCCTAAAAACAGACTTCATTTTCTGCAACAAAATATTAAGAAACATATATTAAAATTTTCTTTTATTTTGGATTGAAATATGCCTTGGGAGTTTCTTGACAGTTTATGAGATTACCCTTGAAATAAACAAAACAAACAAATAAATAAATAATAAAATGTGGGAACATGACCACACACTTGTTCACTAATCATTAAAAAGCATTATTATCAACAATTACAAATACATTAATTGAAAAGCATAACCGACATAAAACAGCTCTACTGATCCCTTGAAGACAAACAATATGGTTTAGCTAAACTGATCAAATCACAGCGATCACTTACGTGTAATGGAATAAATGCAATGGGGCAGAGATTCTGTAGTGATGTTAGAAGCCATTTCTTAGCATACTTTTTTCCATGTGGGATCTGTGAAATAAAAGTAAACATTTCAGATGCAGTAAACCAGTAGTTCCCAACCAGAGGGGGGAGGGGGGTTCATAAAAATAAATGTCTTAAAAATAATTTCTAATTTTTAATTTTAAATAATTAAAAAGTCTGAAATGTAAGATTTTATTATTTTATAAAAAAAAATGTTTTTTTTTTTGTCAAAACTTTATTTTAACATAATACATGTTATTAGACAACATGTTATGTTGTAATCACCCAACCAACATTTTTTGGTTCATTTAGAGTCAGTTGTTAATAGGGATGCAACGATTATATATTTTGTTGGTACGATTATTGTCTGAGGAATAATCACGGTTTTACGATTATGACGATTATTATGCATTTATTCATTTCACAATTACTAATGTATAAAATCACATGGACACTCTTCAGATATTAAAGTGTTATTTCTTTTGCTGGCTTTTGAAACAGAAATAACACAGTAACCAACAATACAGCACAAAATAATAATAAACAAAAGACAAACAAAAGTCCATCTCTCCCATTGGAATTAAAAAAGGTGACCTCTGCTCTGTAAACATCCATGACAGTATTCTCTTAGTATACTCTTTTGAAAATAACAAATTGAAATAGATCACAAAAGTATTTAATGTTTTCATTTGGACCTGGGGTAGAAAATTTGGAAACATGGGGGGGGAAACATGAAGTATTATTCATACTTATGAATAATACAACAGGGATAGTAAATAACAAAGTTAATGAAGTATTATTAATATACGACTAATATTAACTTTATTTGTCCCACAGGGGAAACTGTTACTAATGATGGAAATAAACTGAAATATTATTGTAATCAACCGTCATCCATACGTATTCATTTTAATAATCTTTATAATAATTCATATGATTTTACGTGGCCTGAGAAAATCAAGTCTATTATTTTGGTTTGTGAGATCGGAGATCGCGCTGTGCACGTGTACGTGTACGTGTACAAACATTCAGGAGGACACAAACTTCTTGAGAATGCTGCCCCGTGACTTTTATTAATAAAATAGATTAAATAGCCTTCTGGAAAGATGCACAGACGCAGGTAGGCTAATTCACACAGGCAACTGTCACCTCTCTCTCTCTCTCTCTCGAATAATTAATTCAAGTAGCTTCGCGTCAGGTGGTTCTTACCTTCATGACGTGCATTAAAATCCCTTATGTATTCGCTCTTTTTTACAGCAATATTTAAATGACACCCTGGTCATTCTTGGTGTACCCAAAATGGTCCCACACTATCGACAAGCATTTCTCTGGTGGAAATAAAGCTCCGCTGTTTGGTCCCTGTCACAGTTAATCTAATGCATGTAGTAGCCTCCATGCCTCTGATAAGCATGTCATTTAAAGCTGGCGCACCGCTAGTGTAACTTTGTTTTCGTTTTGCGCAAGCTGCAACAGCTCCGTTCCGTGTAACAGAAACATTCGGTTTAGCGGAACCTTTACGATTAATTAACCGTGACGTATAGGCCAATTATCGGTTTGTAAACATTCAGGATGCGCGCATCATGGTTGCAGAAAACCCGGGAGAGATAGTATGGAGTCAATATAATGCCACATATACAGTGGGTACGGAACATAGCAGTTTTCATCCATAGTATGTCCATTTAAACGTCTGCTTTTAGCTTCAAATTGCGTCTTTGACGACAGTATTCTATAAAAATTATTTGCATTCCGATCTTAAATATTTTTTATCTTTTATTCCATGGATTTTACCCATTTACCTCCACTTGTTCCCAGTGTTTTTCTGCAACCACTATGCGCGCGCAGCTGCAAGTGACGTAACTGTGACGTCTACTCTAAATTGGTCTATTAAAGCGTGGTTAATCGTGAAACCGGTTAATCGCTGCATCCCTAGTTGTTAATGTCATTTAATGTTTCTGCTGTGGTTGCATTTAATAAAAACTTTATTTTTTGGAAAAATTTTTTTTTATGGGGGTCGTAAAAAAAAAAAAAGAATGCTAATAGGGGTCCCCTGCCAAAAAAAGGTTGGGAACCACTGCTATAAACAACAAACAGTTATCAGGACATAGATTAGATTAGTCTAGCTTTTTCTAGTTTAATATCTTCTTGTGTACTAATCAGTCTGCACCCAAAAATACAGTTCACTACAAAATATTTTTTTTATTTCATAGTTTCTATCTTCTGTTGAACACAAAAGAAGATACTGTGAAGAATGTTGGTAACCAAACAACTGACGGTAGCCACTGAATTACATAGTACCCAAAACAGCTGAGTCCAAACATTATAATAATCCACACGACTCCAGTCCATCAATTAATGTCTTGAAGCGAAAAGCTGCGTGTTTGTAAGAAACAAACGCATCATTAAGGTGTTTTAACTGTAAACTGGCCAAAATATGGATAGAAGACTCTCGGGGAAACCTCAATCTCTCCCGCTCCAACAGCGCCTCCTGCTGGCAGAGAATGATTTTGCATATATATGCCGCCACAAATAAAGTGCAAGTCTGAGGGAAACGCCGCTTCTGTTATGAATATTATTCAATATTTTAATTTGAATGTCGGATTGAAATGAACATCGCTGTTATTAGAGTAGGCCTAGTTAATCGTTAGCATAAGTGCGGCTAACGCTAATATAATGAGCATTAGAATGAAGTTTCTTTATTAACTATTTAATGCTCCTATAACTTTTATTAGGGTAAAAAAAACAGGAGGACATGATGATATTTACTATTTTTACACACCAGAGGCTTTTAAATGAATTGTGAATCTATAATATATACGTGTTAGAGAATGTACAAATGGTTAACATTGTTTGTGTCATATCAGTCAGAAAAGCAGTTCTGGCCTTTAATAAAAAATAAAAAAAATAAAAAAAAATTCTTAGCTAACTTAGTTGTTATTCTTGGCTGAATAACTTTAGAAGGTTTTAAAAGCCCTTTAAAATTAAATATGTACAGAGTTTGGATTAAATGAAAGCATAGTCAAATTTTTTAATTAGCATGTTTGTTTTGCTTTGGTACCGAAATTGGTACCGAGAACCGTGGATTTTCACTGGTATTGGTACCGAATACTGAAATTTTTGAAACCGTGACAACACTACTCTCTATATTGCTCTCTCCTGTGTAAAAGTCATCTCATCTGAATCATAAGAGGAACAGGCTCAGATCAAGCACCCGTTACAATTTAAAACAGTTTAAAACAGTTCTAAACAAATATGTTTTATATTCTAAGCAAATATAATTACATATGTTACTATGTATTCGGACATGTATTTTAGCTGGAAGCAACAGTTAAAATACCTTAATGATGGACTTATTACAAACACAAAGCTTTGTACTTCACAAGACATTAATTGATGGAGTGGAGTCATGTGGATTTTATCAGCTGTTTGGACTGGCACTTTGGTCATTTTGATGGCACCCATTTACTGCAGAGGATCCATCGGTGAGCAAGTGATGTAAGTTTTAACAGGAATAGTTTAACTCTTACTGTAATTTTAAACCAATTTTCCCCTCCTCTCTCTGCATCTTCTGCTCCGAATCTGTGCGCGTTTCCCCCTCCAATCTTGTTCATCCACCCCTCTCCTCTCTGACTAGAACGGTCATATGGAATACTGCAGGAAAAGCATAACATGGATTGGGAATTACAAGAAACATTCCTTACATAGATACAATCTTTATTTATGAAGCTGAATCATTTGCAAAAACACTTACAATCTGTGTTGGGACTTCCCATACTGACTAGCCATCACAGACACATCAACACTGCCGCCCTGAAACCTGCTGCGGGGTACTGGCCCGAACGGCTTTGGGGCTGCACCTCGATGCTGCAAGCGAACGGTATCACTGTGTAGACGAGCCTTGATGGACCCCCAACCTCGACGCACCCCCAACCAGCGGCCGTCATGATCTGAAACACAAACATGCATCACAAATATCAGGTTTTCCATAAATGGCAGTGTGCCACTGTACATTTGATAAGATGTGCTTATCAGTTTAGTGTTCAATATATAAAACATGCAAATTGTCAAAAAAAATAAAAAATAAATAATAATAATAATAATACAAACACCTCTAGCACAGGCTGTTGAAACGGGTTTTGATAACAATAATGACAAATTTCTTGAATGCAGCACACCATCTAATATTTTTAATAAGTCTATTTAATTTTTTGATTAATGAAGAAATTATAAATACAACAGATATGTGAAGTTACATTCAATATTATCCATGTTAATATTTAAATGAGAAGTCATGCAAAACATTAACAACGGAGGTCATGCACTTTTGCATTTGTTTGCAAAAGCAATATTACATTTGCTTGCTATTTATGTTTAGGATATTTTTAAGTGCTTGTCATCCTAAAACAATCGTCTGCAGAACTACTACATAAAGAAGACATGAAATAGACACAGTCAAACACCACCAAACAAATCATGAGGAATGGAATAGTATTCTAGCCATATCTCTGTTTACATGGACAAAAATGTAATTGTTTTAAATTAAACTTAAATTGTCCAAATACAATACAAAGGGTGAGGCCTAATAGCAGCAAGGTGCAGTTTTACCTGTGAAAGAGCTTTCAGTGCTCCACACCTCTCTAACTACAGCAGAGCCACTCGGATCTAAAGGAAGGGGAGGAAAAGATTCAAGCATCACAGATTGTTGTTGTTCATGGACTGTACAAGAGCAGCGTCCGATAACTACAAAACTACTGAGTTCTTATTTCGTTAACTAGAATAAAATTATTTAAAGGATATATTTCATTGTAAAAACTTAATAAATAGAGTGTTCAAAAAATTATTTAAAGGAAATGGGGAATATGGGTAGTAGAATATGATGAACTGCTTTCAGGGTCATTTCTTCAATAAGAATTACTACTGCGCAGTTCTTAAAACAAAATACTGAAATACAATACCCATAATGCATCAACAAGCATTAAGTTAATGAAAAACTTCAATTCCCAAAATACACAGTCATTCGGGTTTCTCGGCGCCAAAAAAATTTACTTAATTCCTAACGTTACTTTCCTACTACGTATTCAAATACGGATTAGTTATATTTAGCTGTGTGTAAACAATACTTTTGTTTTAGTAGAATGTCGCCTTTGCAGATAATGGTGGAATCGTTTTTTCCGACTTTTCTACATTTCTCCTTTTCTATGGTATGCTTCCTAGTTCTAAGTTAGCCTATACGGTATTTCATTTGTTCACTAAATTGTACAAATATTGCTAGCACGCAGCGAGTTGCTTTTGTTCCTCTTTTGTAAGTCGCTTTGGATAAAAACGTTTGCTAAATGCATTATGTAAATGTAAATTATATAAATTCGATGATAGCAACATATAACATTAAAATATTACATATTTTTCTCATCTTTGGTGCACAGTGGTGTAAAATATCACAACTACATGCCCAGAAACACATGCTCCTACATGTACTGCAACTTTGAAATGTATTCCAATAGTTCTATCTGCACGTTTGTCCTGTTTAAAACATTCTAGGTTTAATTTGACCCAATTCACCATGAATTATCAGAATTTGCATTGAACACTAATAGGGGAAGACATCACTCACCATCATCATCACATGCTTCACTTTTTGCACCGAATAATGTTGACGTGCTAAAGGTTTATTAGTAATATAAAAACAACAATGATATAATGAAAATGTAAAGATGAGCAGCTGATCACAATCAAACCTGTCAATAAATCCGCATTAATCAATATCATGCCGTGCAACTTTTGTTCAGCAACGTTACTGTTTCGCAAGACACTAAACCACATGATGATATTCGGACATAAATCATGATAACATTTGTACCTGAAGAACTCTCGCAAACCCGTGTTATCACAGACAGGTTGGGGTACCATTCCCGGTATCGAGTCATCTTGCACCAACTCAATTTTAGATAATTGCGCGCAACCGCGTGCACGTGCTCTTACTGACGCACGTGAAAATGCGCTTCATCTTGCGTCGAAAACACGAGCCTGCGCAAGTCTCAAGAGCAAACAGTCTTGCATGGATCCGTTCCAAAACACAAGCATAGAAGGTAGTTGCATTTTCTAACTAACCTTTCTATAAATTCTAAATTTAAAAAAATATAACAGCATATAATAGCATCATTTATTCAGCTGGGTTAATAAACTAACCATATTTGTTTAAGCACTGACTTTTAAAAAGTAGTCAATTTTAAAACTAGATTTTTAGATTTTTGAGATAAAATGTGATTTGTTTGTGTTGTGGCCAGTTGCTAGGGCATTGCCATGGTTGCTAATGTGTTTTGAGTGTTAGTACGTTGCTATGCAGTTGCTAGTGTGTTGTAGGTGGTTGCCAACTTATCCAAGTCAAAAGAGCCTGCTTTCAGGTGTAAATTCTACTCTGGTCACTAGATATGGATTGGTGTGCAGAGCAAATCTATGTAGTGTTGTGCGAAGTGAAAATCAGTGCAATTGCTTAGAAAATTAGTAACTCATCTCCCCTCAAGAAGCTACACAATTTGGGATATTGTGCATGTCTGTAGCATAATATGTGCAATACGGTGATGCTTATTAAAGGGAAAGATATTTTGAAGAATGTTGGTAACCAAACAGTTGGAAAAAATACTATGCAAGTCAATGGCTACCGTCAACTGTTAGTTAACAACATTCTTCAAAATATCTTCATTTGTGTTCAACAGAAGAAAGATACTCATACAGGTTTGGAATAACTTGAGGGTGAGTAAATGATTATATAATGTTTGGATGATCATGTCTGGGTGTCTAACAGAAAGAATACACAAACAATACTTTTAGCATATCAAACATTTAATAGACAAACTTTTATATGTAAAAAAAAACTGGTGACTAATTCCACAAGAACATTTGCAAGAACAATAGCAACACACGTGCTTAATTAATACTGTTAACTGTAAAGCTTTATAGACCTGTAACGATGTGTAATGCCCAAAAGACTGTTCGGTTGTCTATTGATAGATCCAACATGAAATCATCTGTATATGCGAGTATATATGAGGTTACTCTCAGCTTTGCTCCCCTGCTTGCTTGATGGCTTCACCCAGCAAAGTGATGAGGGAGGTCAGTCCGATGAGGTACCCATCCTCCCTGTTTCCCTCCACCCATGGAACATCATGCCTTAGCCGGACATCCTTTGGGGTTGGGATGGTCTTTCCAAAATCGATCATCCATATGTTTGCTTTGCTGCTGCAGTCGTGGACGAAAAGTAAAGAGCTGCCTATGAGCTGTGAGAAGTTGAGATGATGTTAATTCAGAGGCAGAGCGGAATCAACATTCCCATAAACTGTGTTTTGAGATTAAAACAGAGCTGTACAGCTTTAAATTTTATGTTTGAGGTAAATGTGCATGATTTATATTGTAGAACAAACATGTAAAGTCTCTTGAGAAATTCCACAGCTCAAAATGGCAATTCTCTTCTGATTTTTAAGGCTTCAAACTGAACGTAATGTAGTATAGAAGAAAACTGAAACCATCAGATAATGGTGACAAGTTTAAAGTTTCACACTAACCTCGTGTCTGTTGAAAAAGCTTGACTCCTTGAGTGATTCGTTCAGTGCCTGTAATCTGGATTCGTAGGCCTCCTGAGATACACAAAGTGACAAAATGAGGATATTTTGATGTATTTGAGATGAACTGCAATTGTTTTTGATATATAGTAGTCAACATTTGAAGTGGATCAAAACCTTTCATCAAAGTTGTCCTAAAACCAAAATGCGTTCTTGTCTTAGGACAACTTTGATGAACTTTTTTGATCCACTTCAAATGTTGACTACTGTATTCCAATTATATTTTCAAGCAGGCATATTTTGTGTAGAATAATAATCATATAAGCATGCTAAAATATACTGTTTAAAGTCAACATGAATCCCCATTCACGACCCAATTTACTTCAACAATGTGACATACAGTATTTCAAGGTAAAACAAGATATGCAAACATGGGCTAAGTGAGTTTAATTTCAATATCAATTAGGAACTAACTGAATCGCCAGATGTTTTATTTATTTATTTATATCTGTGTGAGTTTTTGAGACTAAAATAATTAGTAAACTTTAAGTATGAAATGGTGTGCACTCACTAGAATGTGAACCTGCCTCCTGGTGAAGTTTATCAGTGTTTCTGTCACTTGAGCTTCTGTGCGTGTCTTGTAAAAGTCTCGTAATACTTTACCGTTCCCCATCTGGAAAAAAAAATTGTGAGAAAAAGTAAAAAATTGATATGATGGCCAGTTAGTCCTTCAAAGTCCATTCACACCAAAGACAATGACTATAATTATATAGTTTTAAAAACTGTTTTAAATGGAAAAGAATAGCAGAGTCCACAACACACAAATAATGATAATAGCATAGAGGAGCAAAATCGTTGGAATCACTTTCACAAAAAACCTTTTTCCAGCTGATGAATGACATTGGCAAAGCATTGACAGCCAATCAGAATTCATCCTGCTTTAAAGATCTTGAGCATTTAAAGCGGCAGACAACAGAACTGCAGAACGTGCTTATAAAGTTATCGTTATAGTTATCATTGTGACCAGGCCTTTAGCCTCATGTTTCGTACCACTATGCCTTCTATGCGGAATCCCAGTGAGGAGGTGGAACTGCTGTCATCCCTCCATTGCAGGTAACGCAGCTTCGTCACACCTTTCTGTGCATGTTCTTCTGCTGTGGGAGCTGCCAGATCTACTTTCACCATCTTTTGATACATATCAGAGCGTACACTGCCATTGCTCCTGGCCTTAATGATCTCTTCCTCTTGGTATGTCCTGCAAGTAATGCCATAGGTTCAGACGGTACTGCATTATTGTTCAAATATTGTGCATTTATAAGGTCAATGAAGCATAGAGTAGCAAACTAAAATGGTATTTGGAGGTGATCAGAACTAGAAATCCACTGAAATGAATTTTTACAGAAACACTCAAACTGAAGTTTTCATTTAGACGAAAACCAAAAATAAAGTGAAATTTGTGTAAATAGACAGTAGAACTCAGTATGCTGTTCATGGTGTTGTGTTCTCAAGTAATACATTAAACCAATCGGTGTTCACGCTGCTGACATGTTGACCTGTTGTAGCTTATCCATGTTGAGTGCACGAAATAGTCCCTCACATGGTCAAAATACATAATTGGAGAAGCACTAATTGAAAAGTAACTGTTTCGGTCAATGATTTTGGCCCTCCAAAATGATTTTGACCAAAGCCAAAAAAAAATTTCAGTTCCCAAAATTCTGGTGTATTAATTATTAGAACATTTGTGCAACACTAATATTCTGTCTTGCAGGCAAATGCATCATGATTTTATAAAACATACCCACAAATTCCATTATTTTAAAGTATTGTCTCACACTTTGAGGTACTCAGCTAAACATCGTGACTTAAAGGGATAGTTAACACAAAAATGAAAATTTGATGTTTATCTGCTTACCCCCAGGGCATCCAAGATGTAGGTGACTTTGTTTCTTCAGTAGAACACAAACGAAGATTTTTAACTCAAACCGTTGCAGTCTGTCAGTCATATAATGGAAGTGAATGAGAATCACGGCTTTGAGAGTCAAAAAAACATACACAAACAAAACCAAATTAAACCCAGCGGCTCGTGACGGGCATATGACGTCATCTAGCGACATTTAGCGACTTTTCAGGCGGGGTTTAGCTACTTTCCATTGAACATTTGAGCGATAGGTGGCAGTAATGCACTTATAAGTCTGCGATCCGCCATAAAACAAGAAGAAGAAGTTTTCTTCTTTGTTTGTGAAAAGTTCTTTGTTTGTGAAAAAATCTTTGTTTGTGAAAAGTTACAAATCTTTGTTTGTGTTCTACTGAAGAAACAAAGTCACCTACATCTTGGATGCCCTGGGGGTAAGCAGATAAACATCAAATTTTCATTTTTGGGTGAACTAACCCTTTAAGAGAACAAATATAGTCTAAACTAAATATATTAAGTCAAAAATTAATCAGTATTTAAAGTAAGCTGTTGGGTTCCTTCCTTCCTACCGGACACCCATTTTGCAGTCCATGATGACAGGATTTTTGAGCCCGCTAAGCAGATCTTCTAGTCGGATGTATCGCTCTCCATCCTGACTGATGTGCCCGAAATAATGAGGCACGAACTGACAGAGTGCATCAAACATAAGGGCCTGTAGACAGATGGCCTCCACCTCACAAAACCTTTTCAGCACCTCGCCGCCCTCACTCAGCCTCACGTTACCTAAACAGAATGTACAAAACAAATTTTCTGTCTTCAAAAAACTGGTCATGGACAAGGCAGATACAAAAGAAATGTTCAAACCTATTTTACTTCTATAACCTAATGTATTTTGATAGAAAGTGAAGGTATGGTCAGGGTCAAAATCCTGAGTACCTTGGTGTCCTGCTAGCTGGATCCATGAGCTTTGTGTATGTTTGGACCACTGCATCATGGTCAAAAACGTTCTCCAAGATCGACACTGGGAAAGAAATGGGAGTCATTTAGTGGCAGGGATCTAACAGTACCTTAAAAACAAATATTTGGGTTTCATTTTCCAAATTTGTTCATAAAATAGCATGCTTTACAGTTATACTCTACACATTGTGAAACTGTTCAGACCCATAGACATTGCCCACTGCTTGTCCATTATGGGGTATATTGCGTGTTTATCAAGTATGATATTTGAAGATAAGTTGAATTTGTTTTGGGAATATTGCAAATGTGACAGTAACATGCTACTCTAGCATCTCGGTCTACAGTACTATGCAAATAGCTTATTCAAATACGCAATGTTATGAGTACACTTTCAGAATCATGCAAATTGTCTGATACATTTCAGTGCACCGAAAAAATACAGAACATTTCTGTTAGTCCACAGGTCAGACTGAACCTGACACCAGTTCACTGGTCCTGAGAGATTCTGCAGAATCTAGATAAACTGCTTTGTGCTTTCTAAGCCTTCCCAGAGTTCCACTCACCTTCTTCATGGTCTGCCTCCTGGCAACAGTGTCCTCATTTTCACTGAAAACCTCATCGCTTTCTGCTGAGGAGTTGTTGAAGGAAGACGAGGACGAAGCTGAGGAGTGAAAGAGAAACCGAGAGAGAACAGGGTGTGGAACTAATTCTTCCTCACCATCTTTCTCCACACTTCCCTCCATATAATGTTCTCCATCCTGTGATGACACAAGCGTTTGTGTGTTTCTCTGTCTTGAGCCCCAACTCTTCTTCCTGTGCAGTCGTTTGTTGCTGAAATCTCCCTTGTTACTCTCATCGATACTCTCCACACTTGCTCCCAGCCTTTCCCGCATCCCTTCCTTCAGTCTTTCCCTCGGTTCTATCTTGCTTCTCCACAGGCTTTTCCTAGTTGCTGCATTCAACTCCACATTTGAACCCTCTTCAACAAGATTTTCACCTGCCATCACCCTTTCTTTCACTTTCTGCTCTTCCACGTCTTCGTCCTTGGTTGTTTCTCCAGCAGGTATTGGTAGGGGATCCATGCAAACACGTTCCAGAGGTTCAGGTTTCATAACCTCTGGTTCCTCACATGCATTTGTCTGCATTTCTGTTGGATCTTCTAGCTTGGATGAAAGGACGGCGTGAGCAGAAGCCAGTTTAGGTCTGGCTCTGAAGCCAGTTTTCTTGATATGATTACTTTGATTGATTGAGGATGGTGAGAAATCAAAAATCCTTTCTTCTATGGCATCTCTCATGCTCTCCCCATCACTTCCATTGCTCTTCTTCTCTGACAATGTGCTCATTCTTTCTGGAGGAGAATCCAAGTCTTTCATGAAGCCGTTTGGAGGGAAATTTTCATCAGAAATGGATGAAACTCCTGTTTTGTTATTTTGAGCTCTAGAAGAGAATCTGATGGGATAAACAAAATCATTATTTGATAAATCATACCTAAAGATGACAGATGAATAGACAGATGGCATCTTAACAACATAATACAATATTCAATATCTTAATAATATTGTTATTTAAAGAGGCACATCATGTAGGGAATTTCCTGGACATATACAAAGCCTCAGTCTAAAAAAATATTGCCGTCACTTGAGGTTTCCTATAGAAATAGATAAAAATAAGCATTATCTTGTCCAGGGAATAGCCCACATATGCTAAGAAGCACAACGTTCAAAACAATTACTTGTAGGGGGAAAAAGCACATACTCCCACGTACCCGAGTTGCCAATCTTTCATCACTCCTGTGTGTTAAACTGAACCCACCAGTAGTTCAGCGCCAAAGACTCGACACCAGTTTAAAGTCTTGCTGTCAACGTTTTCCAGCAGTGCTTTGCATAATGTGACATCATGGTTTTCCACAACATATCTGACAATAAGCTCTTTCGAGGTTGGGCCGACGGCTGGCCCACACTCTCTCTAGTGTCGACAACTCAGCAGACTCTGGCAAACGCGTCATATACAGCATGTGTTTCCATGTGGTAGATGGTTTCAGCTGTGATGAATTAATTTGATCAGCATGCAAATTTCCCAGGAATTGAACCTAGTGACTTGCTATACCATTTACAGTAAACTACAGATTTAGATAAAAAAAATTACTTGTTTTTCAGTGGATATACATCTTGCAACAAATTGTCATTTAATTTGGAGTCTTATTAAATTCTCTCTACAATTGTGCAGTATTTTTATTTATAAAATAAGTATAAAAACAGTACAGCCAATATTATAACGTATATTTTACAACTTTATTTATTCTATTTATTTTTCAAATTACGTTTTTTTTTTTATCATGTTAAAATTATGATTATAAATGTCCATAAATAAATTTCAGTAAAGTAATATCCTTTAGTTCCTCCTTACAACACAAGTGGATATTTCTCTAGTTGTCTCTGCATTTTTAAAAGTGGAATACATGTAAATGAATGCAAATTAATAATGTTATTTTCCAGACATAAACCACAAACAAATGACATTCTCCGCCTTGGGTTATTTATTGGCACAGTCTCACTGTTTTCAGTGTTGTGGAATATAATAATAATAAGAAGAACAACAAAGGATATGTCTAGAAAGGTCAGTTTTGGATATACAGGTTATGTCGATATTTGGTTGACAATAAATGGTTACTATACTGAATATCTGTGGTTGTCTTGATTATTTTTTTTTACAATAATGATACAAGTGATTAGGGCTAGCATCAAGTCCACATTTTTAAAACAAGGACATTGTTTCCAAATCTATGAAATCCAGTGGGTGGCCTTTGCTTTTCATAACCTTTACCCTCATTTAGCTGACAGCTCCATTCGCTCTCTAGCAGCTTGAACAGACACCAACACGGTAGTAAGTTTTATCTGTGGTGTCTGTTAACGCTTGAGATGACTGTAACATGCTCTGTGACAAATTCCTGTGCCTCAAAATCATTTCTCCATCCCCAGCCTCACAGGTGGGTTCATCTTCAGCAAGTTCTCTGGAGTCATCTTCACTCTCCTCCACCCCCACGTCTGGAATGGATTCTTCCACCTCCACTGAATTGCACCCTATGGCATCGAAACTTTCTATAATAATGGGGGGAATCCAACAAATGTGTTGTAGTGGCTGTATAAAGATATATGATCAATGCACATCAAAAAAGCAACAAGATAGGAAAAGCTAGTTTAGCAAATGAGCAAAGGGATAGTTAAACCGTTCTCTCCACCTTGTTTGTGGAACACAAAACAAGATATTTTGAAAAATGTTTCCATTTATTCATACAATGAAGTCAGTGGGGTTAGAATATCTTCTTTTGTGTTCTACAGAAGAAACAAAGTCATACAGGCATTTTTTTTCTCTTGATTTTAATGTGCACTGATCATTTTCACTATTAATTTTACGCTTCTGTATATTACTTTCAGTATGAAGTCAATTTAAATTACTTTTAATTACTACATGGGTTGCAATTGATTTTAAAATTTCAGTGAATAAACCAGACTTTACCTGGTGCATTTCCTTCATCCTGGGGTTCAGACTGATCATTCAGGTCATCTGGTTCATTATTTTCCTCTTGTTGCATAACAGCCTGAAGCAAGGAAAACACTGTATGAAAAATTTTTGTTAACACAGACATTCGCAGAAGAAACACAAAGCCACTATTTCAAGGCTAGAATGCCCATAACATACTGGATACAAGTATGTGAAATCAAGTACACAAGCTAGATTTCACACCACACAGTGCAATCCAAAAATGTGTTGAAGTGTAATTCGTAAGACAAAGCAAATGCGTGTTACATTTTATCAGTGTTGATCAGTGCGGCATTAGAATGTATTGGTCAGTTTTTTTTCCTCACAATTCAGACTTGTTCCTTAGAATTCTAAGTTTACATCTTGCAATTTTTTTTTTATTTTTTTTTTGCAATTTTGTTTGTTTTTGCTACTGCTACAGATTAAAAGTGTAATTGCAAGTTTTTATCTCACAATTCTGACTTTTCTTAGATTTGTGGGTTACCATTTTGCAATTCCGAGTTTATACGAAAAATATAAGTCTGAATTGTGAGATATAAACTCTGAATTATGAGGGAAAAAAAGTCTGAATTGTGAGATAAATGTCACAATTATCTTCATTTTTTTTTAATCTGCAAAAACAAGATTCCATACATTTGTACTCCCTTGAGTACTGAGGTTTGAAAAACCTCATTAATGATTAACGCATTACATATTTTACAAGCATTCACATCTAAGTTTGCATACTTTTGTAGAGTATGCCCTTGGCCAGTGCCTTGTATATTGAACATTAAATGCTCAATTTTAGAGAAGCGTACCTTTCCACGAGTCCTGCGACCACCCAGATTAAACTGCAGGAAGCTGAGAACGATGATCAAACTGAGGAAAGTAAAATTACTCATCACCCCGATCAGCGCTGATATCAGGGGGAAGCGATACAGCAGGTACCTGTGCAGATCAGAGAGATTCATAAAGACCTCATCATCTGTTTGATGAATGTTTGGCTGATTATCTCAAACACAGCACATTATTTAAAGTAACAAAATATGGAAAAATGTGAGGACTTTTTAAGCAACCCAGCAAAAAGACAGGAATACACAAAACACAAACCTGATGCCTGTAAAGTGAGCGAAGATGTAGAGATGAGCTCTGTAGATCTGAATATGCTGGGAATGGATCTCAATGATGGCTCCAACAGTGGGGTTGTACTGAACAGAGAAAAGATTGAGAAAAATATACTAAATGAGCTCTAAAATTTAGTTCCACTTCTCATATACTGTAGATAAGCTGCTAAAGGTGTTCTAAGTAGTTTTGCAGTGTTTCTATGTGGTTGCTAGGGCGTTCAGAACCATGACTCACAGAATCATCTTTGAATTCAGAGTACAGCTCCACTATGACTGACTGCTTCTGCTCCGACGCTCCTGTTAACAGCATGGGGGAGAAGACCACTGTGCCCAGAGCCTGAAGAAGAGAGGAGCGATAATGGAGCATTGCCTGAGACACACAGAGAGAGAGAGAGAATGGGAGTCGATCTGACAAGATACCATAGATGCATTGTGAAAACAAAATGTTCTAAACGGGTTCAGAAAGATAACAAGACTCGCCCTGGTGAACCTACATTTTTGCAACAGTTACTTAATAGGAAATGTCATGTGAAAATTAAAATTCTGTTATGGAAAAGCACCATAAAATGACTTGTGTGCTATATACGAAGTCTCTTGAAGCCATTTGACATGAATAATGTGAGTACAGGTGAGTAAATGCTTATAGAAATGTCATTTTTGGGTGAATAATTCCTTTTAAGCATGAAATGAATTTGACTGGTTGATAGTGTAATCTATCAAGAAGCAAACATTTGATGTACACTTTGAACTTAAAATGCTTTTTTTGTGTGTGTACATGTCTCCTCGTTTGCATACTTACAGAACGTGCCGATATGTCAACAATCTGACCAGCTTTAGAATAGGGAGTCATTTTTACTAGGAACATTCCCAGCTCCCGATTGGCTGGAGACTCAGGCATTTCCAGCTCTAGTGTGATCCGATAAGGCTGACCGTATGTCATTACCTGTAGTAGGCAGGAAAGAGACAAACAGCATTGCAATCCCTAGTAAAAAAGTAATATATTTAAAATACATTTATTTCATACTAAGTATAGTTCAAGTCTATTAACATATTTACTGACATGTTGCTCAAGACTTGCTGATATAATAATTATAATTCAACTTTATTTGGAGAACTACTTGTGCACAATGCACTTTCTTAATATTAAGCATAAAATGTGTTTTAATGTCACTATTGATGAGGATTGTATGATTTTTGAATAATATTGGTTTTTAAATGCAAGATATTTAAAGTATACCTAAAGTATAATTGCAATAGTTCCAGTTTAGCACAATCAAATATACTTCAGTATATCTTTAGTTGTACTTAAGTACTACTTCTGCTCAATTAAAGTGCATTAAGGACAAAATGAATTGTTCCAATTTATCAGACTTTAATTATACCAGTTTAGTATACTAAAAGTTCAATTGCAGGGTATTTTTATTAAGTACATGTATGTAGTTGACTTAATAAGATTAAATAAATGTATTTAGTGTATTTATTTTTCACTAGGATAATATACTACTAAAGCATTTTTTTTAATATGTCCACTGTGCATAGTATGCAAATATTCTTTGTCCACAAATATTCTGACTGCACAATATGTGCAGCATGCAACCTGAGCAAAGTACATCACAAGTAAAGTGATGTCAACCTTTATTTTTAACAAAAAATTTTGCCCAGATTTATTTGATCAGACTGCCAAAAAGTCATTTTTGCAAAAAACTGGATAGATATGTAAAATAAAAACTTCAAAATAAATATGTATTTATTACTAACATAACTGAACATAAATGGAAATAAATTTGCCATAGTGACAACATTTGACAACAATATAGCATGCTAGTATTTGAAACACTTATTGCATACTATACACAGTTCTACATACTATACTAAACCAAAGTCAATTCTATAGTCTTTGACTAAACTCAGCAATAAAAGATAATAAAAAATTTTTTTTTTAAAAACTTTAAAATAAATACTCAACAAAAACACATATGCAAACTTTTTTTTGATTTTGTCTAAAGGTTAAATAAACTAATCCATTAAAAAATATATATTTTTTCTGACTATTATTTCATATGTCAGATTTACAGGTTTAAAGGTGCAATAGATGATTGTCTTCAGAAACATTTTTTGTTATGCTGGTTGAAAGTCTCTTCACATCCCGATAACAATCATTAAGTTAAGTGGTCTAAATGTATTTATCTGTATTTACATATTCTGTGGAAGGCGTAGGTCCAAGAAATGCTCTTCCAATCAAAACACTTAGTCCGAGGTATTAGCATACCTCTGTGCACCCTGTTCGCACAGACAGGATACGTCATCAGTGCGTTCACGTACGCTGTGCAGACAGAGCGAGAATGGCAGACAAACATCAACAACCCAATCTTCCTTCCTGGTATTGTAGTACTTTTATTAACTGTACTATAAAGTTTTCTCTCCACGGAAACTCAATATTCCGTGGACGAACGTAGTAGCTGAGACTGCAAAGTCGCGCTATGAGGGTAAGAGGCTGCCGAGAGCTAAACGGGCAGCGAGACAACTTCTTCCAATCTTTCCAGAGCTTCTGGAAGAAGTTTCTGTCACCTGGAAGAATCCTTTTACTAGTAAAATGCCTGGCAGTGGGATCTGCGCTTGACGTAGAGGGTATGGAGAAGGAGGGCCTTCTTCGCATGCCCCCCATGGAGCCTTTAGTCGCGCATCTGCATTCAAAGCGCACGGCGGCTGCGAACCCGACATTGCCATCAAAAGCGGACCTCTTCCAGTCAAGCATGACGGAGCGCGCTTACAAAGCAGTCGCTCTCTCAGTCCGGGCCATGAACCCCATCTCTCTGCTCACCGTATACCAGGCGGAGCTACAAGACGAGGTGTCTGTTACGCCAAGTCAGACACAGTGGGAAGAAATCTGTGTCGTCACAGATCTCTCGCTCTGTCTTCAGAGATGTGCCGTTCAGGCTGCGGGCAAGGCCATGGCCACAATGGTCATTCAGGAGAGAGGATGCTGGCTTAATTTGGCTAATCTCTCCAACAGAGAAAAGAAAGCCATTTTAGATGCACCGGTTGTCGCAGAAGGCATTTTTGGCTCAGCGCTGACACGGATGCAGAAGAGATGTGAGGAGAAGAAAAGGGATGACGAGGCCTTGCAGCTCTGCATCCCAAGGAAGACACAGACTGCGCCCCCTCCACCTCCTCGGCAGACCTTTGCGCAGGCTACAGCTCAAAAAGAGTGTTTTAGTTCCCAGACAGTCAATAACGTATCTGGGGTTGTTACTGGACTCAGTGACATTTAGAGCGCAACTGTCAGAGGAGAGAGTAATAAAATTTAGGCAATGCCTGGCCAAATTTTAGAAAGGGAACAGTGTTTCTTTTCGCACATGCCTCATACTATTAGGTCTGATGGCCTCAGCTCTAATAATCATTCCCTTAGGCAGACTATTTATGAGAAAGTTTTAACGCTGGGTAGCCTCTCTGAGACTGGACCCGTTACGGCACTCCTGGAGGAGAGTGAGAGTGACGTCAGCGGCAGTCTTGGCACTGCGTCATTGGCGAGGCCCATGCTTTATGGTGCAAAGGATACCTATGGGCGTTGTCCAGGCCAGGAAGGTCATAACGGCGGATGTGTCATTGTCCGGCTGGGGGGACATTCACAAGGGCAGGGCAGTGAACGGGAGAAGGGGTCCCCATCTGAGCCACTGTCACATTTGGAACTACTTGGAAATGCTGGCCATCTTTCTAACGTTGAAGCATTTTCTTCCTTTTCTGAATGGACATCATGTTCTCGTGAGAACGGACAACACTACAGTTGTGGCTTACATAAACAGACAGGGAGGTCTCAGATCACTCCCCTTACACATGTTGGCACGCAAACTGATTTTGTGGAGCAATGCCAGTCTTTTATCCCTGAGGGCGACGCACTTACAAGGGATCATGAACCGGGGTGCAGATCTGCTGTCCAGGGGAAATCCACTTTATGGAGAGTGGAAGCTGAACACGGAAGTGGCCGGTCAAATTTAGAGCATATATGGCAGAGCGACAGTGGATCTGTTCGCGTCGCAGGACAATGCTCAATGCCCTCTGTTCTTCTCTCTGAAGGATCAGAGCGCGCCTCTGGGAATAGACGCACTGGCGCATGAGTGGCCTTGCACTCTCCTGTACACGCTCCCCCCGATAGCGTTGATATCCCCAGCCCTTCACAGAGTGAAGGAGGAGGGACTGAAAATGATACTGGTAGCTCCGCGGTGGCAAGGGAAATATTGGCTGGCAGAGATCATACATATGCTGTACGCAGAGCCATGGTCCCTGCCGCTGCGCAAAGATCTGCTGTCACAGACAGGGGGGAGATTTTTTATCCTCATCCAGAACGCCTGGCACTGTGGGCCTGGCCAGTGAGTGGCTAAATATGAATGCGGCTGGTCTGCCAGACAGTGTCATCATAACTATACAGAATTCTAGGGCGCTGTCAACTCGGTCACTCTATGAATGTAAATTGGGTGTGTTTGAGCGTTGGTGCGCGGCTAGACACGTAATCCCCTTTCAGTGTTCAGTGGCAGTTATTCTATATTTTCTGCAGGATCTGATAGATCAGGGTAAAGCGTTCTCAACCATAAAGGTGTTTCTGGCTGCGATATCTACCCGTCATGTAGGTTTTGATAACAAAACTGTTGGGCAGCATCCTTTGTTATGCCGGTTTATGAAGGGGTGAGCTGTGCTTTACCAGTCTCAAAACCGATTTCTCCTTTATGGAATCTGGTTCTGGTGCTTGATGCGCTTTCTGTGACTACATTTGAGCCACTGGTCAAGGCTGAACTGAAATTATTGTCGTTTAAGACAGCTCTGCTGTTAGCTTTGGCTTCAGCGAAGCGCGTAAGTGAAATTCACGCACACTCTCTGTGCATTCAGCTTGTATGCAATTCATGCCAGGGGATGCAGGGGTGCTTTTGAAACCTAACCCAGCTTTTATGCCCAAGGTGGTCAATTCTATTATTCCTCTCAAGTTACGAGGTTACGTATTTACATGGAGAGAACTAAAGGGTTCAGAGAGAGTGATCAGCTGTTTGAGTCTTGGGCGAAGCCATGTACGGGGAAGCCGATTAGTACCAGCCAATTGGGGCTGGCGTAATGAAATTGGGCTTCTGAGGAATACGTGGAAGGGACGTATCCCATAGTGAGACACCTCACTTAAAGTTCCCATGAAATCAAAATGAAAGTTTTTTGGGTGCCATCTTGGCTGCGCGTCACTCACGGAATATCGAAAATGGGCAAAAGGGCGGGACATGGGTGGAGCTGGTTGCTGAAACCACGCCCGCCTTGCGCGACGGTAGTGACAGCAGCGGCAAACCACCTGTCACTCAAGTAAAATAAAACTTGAGTTAAAATAAAAAAAATTCACCCCCCACACAGTTGTCATAAAGGGCAAAATTAGCTATATAGACCAAATCCACTTTTTGAACCAGGCTGTAAACACATTTTTTTCAGCTGTCAAGTTGGGCATTTTAACATGGGGAGTCTATGGGACTGACTCTCTTTTGGAGTCAATCTCTAGCGGCCAGTCGATGAATTGCAGTTTAAGTCACTTCCGTGTTGGTTTCAAGAGAGAGACTGGAAGGTTGCCGCTTGGTTCGCTTTCAGTGCTATCAGGCTAAAGTTAGCATTTTCCAAGATCTCCTACTGCACCTTTAAATAAAAATAGCAATAAAAATAAGACACATATAAGACAATTGTTGAGACACAGTGAGAATATAAACCTGTTAAATTATAAAATGTGGATAGCATAGTTCAGATGAACTGGCTTTACAGATATGGGCATCTTAGCTGAGCACAGTTTGATACATTGTCTTTTTTGAAACATAATTTCATAAATTATTACATTAACATTTATTCATTTAGCAGACACTTTTATATAAAGTGACTTACAAAAGACCTGCTTTTAAAACTATATATTTTTGTATGTTTAATGCATATAATTTTTGTGAGGTTAATGCTTAAATCATGAATAATGATTTAGTGAATGGGACAAGAAAAATTTGTTTTCTTCTTTCAAGAAGATATTTAATAATTTAGGCTTTTGCTTAAAAAATTTGCTTTTCGAGAAAGCTTGTTTACTGAACAACGAGATGAAAACCTGATTAAGAAAATGATTTAAAGTAGCTTACTCTGCTGGGTACCTGTAAACACCTCACCTGTAGAAGAAGTAGACAGGTGTGATGAAATTGGCTGTGGGCATAAAGGAATAATAGAAACTGCCATAGAGGAATAAAGCCACCCAGAACACCAGCAGAATCACACAGATCAGAATAGCCATTTCCAGAAGCTTCTGTCTGATCCGCACCAGCGGCAATGACATCGTCTCCAGGATCTGGACCAACAGCCCATTGATTTGAGGTCCCACATCTTGAACACCAGAATCCTCTGAATCGAACTCCTCCATAGTGGGCTGCATGTTTACTGAGATTAATTTCTCTCAAACGGTCCAGTGTTGTTGCGCTGCTATCTCAGAAAAGTCCTTCACAACTTCCTCTTCTCTTTCGATTTCAGCTCTTGTTGGCGTCTTTGGTTTATATACAAAATAACCCAAACCTGCCTCATTCCTCATGAAAACTCAGCCAATTTCTCACCACCTCATGTTACCGTTTTTGAGTTCCTGTGAGATTCTTCCTCTGCCCTTGAAGCTCTGACGTCTGACTTTGATTTATCTAAAATGTTCTGAATCAATGAACAAGCCCTTTTTAATGAATGTTCTTGCAGTAATGGACTGTGACACTGTCGGTTCCTGGAAAAAAATGGACAGTCAGAAGAACAGCTGGATCCCAGTGGGACGATGCTGGGACTCATGACCAGCATGTGAGGCAACAGGACAAGGAATGCTGTTAGGAAATACAAACGGTATGAAATATCCAAGGCAAATCCTTCTATCTTCAATCTGGATGACCTCAAACACAATTAGTAACAGCTATTAAACCAAGCAGAAACAGTTGTCATTTATCATTTTGTGAGAATCACATGCATGTAACTAGTTTGAAAGGCTGGATACGCAATAACCATTTCAAGTTTACAATGCAACCACAAATCCATTGGATGCACACAAGACACATGCGACTTTAAAAGCAGCCAAACACAGTAGCTCAGGTCATTGCAAGGTTTCAATAAATGCTCAAATTACAGGCAATTAGCTGTTTGAGGACACACGTGCACCCTGTTATTATGAAACTGGAGTTTCCAGCTCAGTTGAACATATCGCACATAATTACTCCTACATGAACGTAACAAGCTTTGCACACAAAGGAGATTTTGTTGCCCTCTTGTGTGTTTAGTATTGTGTCGCCATTAAATGTTTTTGTAATGTGAATCTCTTTCCACTAGATGGCAATAAACGCCCTTTCAGTAGCATTTGTGAGCAAACTCAAACTGCAATACAGTAAAGCAGGTTTTAAGAGATTATGGTGAAAGATTTTATTGTAAATGATTATTTAAATGAGCATTTATTTTGGTATTAGTAAAAATTGTGTTGCTATCATGGCAAATGCAATATGTTTGTGATGCTTGCTTTTGAAGGAAGGACTCAAGCTGTATCATTGAGACCTAAAATAGGCTTTTTGACTTGGGAACAGTAAATAACTACCTAGCAACAAAGCAAGACACCTTAGCGGCTGCAACACAATGCCATAGCAACCTCTCACAACATTCTAGCATTGTGGCAGTGAGTTTTGCATGGATAGCCATTTCCAGAAGCTTCTGTCTGATCCGCACCAGCGGCAATGACATCGTCTCCAGGATCTGGACCAACAGCCCATTGATTTGAGGTCCCACATCTTGAACACCAGAATCCTCTGAATCGAACTCCTCCATAGTGGGCTGCATGTTTACTGAGATTAATTTCTCTCAAACGGTCCAGTGTTGTTGCGCTGCTATCTCAGAAAAGTCCTTCACAACTTCCGCTTCTCTTTCGATTTCAGCTCTTGTTGGCGTCTTTGGTTTATATACAAAATAACCCAAGCCTGCCTCATTCCTCATGAAAACTCAGCCAATTTCTCACCACCTCATGTTACCGTTTTTGAGTTCCTGTGAGATTCTTCCTCTGCCCTTGAAGCTCTGACGTCTGACTTTGATTTATCTAAAATGTTCTGAATCAATGAACAAGCCCTTTTTAATGAATGTTCTTGCAGTAATGGACTGTGACACTGTCGGTTCCTGGAAAAAAATGGACAGTCAGAAGAACAGCTAGATCCCAGTGGGACGACGCTGGGACTCATGACCAGCATGTGAGGCAACAGGACAAGGAATGCTGTTAGGAAATACAAACGGTATGAAATATCCAAGGCAAATCCTTCTATCTTCAATCTGGATGACCTCAAACACAATTAGTAACAGCTATTAAACCAAGCAGAAACAGTTGTCATTTATCATTTTGTGAGAATCACATGCATGTAACTAGTTTGAAAGGCTGGATACGCAATAACCATTTCAAGTTTACAATGCAACCACAAATCCATTGGATGCACACAAGACACATGCGACTTTAAAAGCAGCCAAACACAGTAGCTCAGGTCATTGCAAGGTTTCAATAAATGCTCAAATTACAGGCAATTAGCTGTCTGAGGACACACGTGCACCCTGTTATTATGAAACTGGAGTTTCCAGCTCAGTTGAACATATCCCACATAATTACTCCTACATGAACGTAACAAGCTTTGCACACAAAGGAGATTTTGTTGCCCTCTTGTGTGTTTAGTATTGTGTCGCCATTAAATGTTTTTGTAATGTGAATCTCTTTCCACTAGATGGCAATAAACGCCCTTTCAGTAGCATTTGTGAGCAAACTCAAACTGCAATACAGTAAAGCAGGTTTTAAGAGATTATGGTAAAAGATTTTATTGTAAATGATTATTTAAATGAGCATTTATTTTGGTATTAGTAAAAATGGTGTTGCTATCATGGCAAATGCAATATGTTTGTGATGCTTGCTTTTGAAGGAAGGACTCAAGCTGTATCATTGAGACCTAAAATAGGCTCTTTTGACTTGGGAACAGTAAATAACTACCTAGCAACAAATATTGTGTCGCCATTAAATGTTTTTGTAATGTGAATCTCTTTCCACTAGATGGCAATAAACGCCCTTTCAGTAGCATTTGTGAGCAAACTCAAACTGCAATACAGTAAAGCAGGTTTTAAGAGATTATGGTGAAAGATTTTATTGTAAATGATTATTTAAATGAGCATTTATTTTGGTATTAGTAAAAATTGTGTTGCTATCATGGCAAATGCAATATGTTTGTGATGCTTGCTTTTGAAGGAAGGACTCAAGCTGTATCATTGAGACCTAAAATAGGCTCTTTTGACTTGGGAACAGTAAATAACTACCTAGCAACAAAGCAAGACACCTTAGCGACTGCAACACAATGCCATAGCAACCTCTCACAACATTCTAGCATTGTGGCAGTGAGTTTTGCATGGCAAAGAGCACTTACATTTCCTTTAGAAAACATAAAAATTTAGTAGTTTACATAATCATCAGTAAGATGAACACCGGTACACCGAACACTTGAAAAGGTGCCACGTTTGGATTGATTTTTCACATGCCAGAGAAAGAGCGAGAGATGATAGGAATTTTGTGGATGATTTCAAATGACCTGCCAAAGAGAGATTGCTGGCCTACATACATATTTAAAAAAGGATCTTGCAGGTGAATCAAATTGTTTCACCAAGTGGAATAGTGCTTTTGTTCTGATGGAATGATAAAGGGAGATAAAGTGAAAATTTAATGCATGACTCCTTGAAACTTAAATGGAGATGGAATTAAATGTGTAAAAATGAAGAGAGGTGAAGCTGAACTGGACTGCAGATGAGAGTTCTTCTTCCCCTCCTCCTCCCCTCATGCTGGTATGACTCATTTGCAAATCATACTCTGTGCTAAAGCTATGTAAAGCTATAGTATTCAGCTGCACTGTGGCTGTCAACACTACAGAAATATGTTGTTCTATCACTTTGTTCTATCATTATCGTTCTATCATTCTTTCTTGATTCTGATTGGTCAGTCACTGCATAATAAATTTTGAATTTGAAATGTGAATTACACCACAACAGAAGATGCCAGAAAGATTGTTCATGCTGCTCTTTACCATATAATATAAGGTCACTTGTATTTGTACAAAAAAGCTTCAAAAAGGTCAAAGCTGGTTGAATGACTTCCTTAAAGGAATAGTTCACCCAAAAATGAACATTCACTGAAAGTGTACTCATTCTTAGGTTATCAAAGATGTAGATTATTTTGTTTCTTCATAGGAACAAATTTCACTTGCTTTCACATCACTTACTCACCAATGAATCCTCTGCAGTGAATGGGTGCCTCCAGAATGAGAGACAAACAGCTGATAAAAAAAACAATAATTACAAATAATCCACACGACTCTATGGCATTTTAACTGTTGTTTCTGGCCAAAAAAATCCATAATAAAGCTTCCTCCAGTGGAAAGCCCCCTTGTTGTTCTCTTACATCAAAATCCACCAACATATTTGTTTAGGACTGTTTTGCTTATAATATATGAATATATAATATCTGAAATATAATATCTGTGCACATTCCTTTCCTGATTCAGATGAGATGACGTTTTCACCAGAGAAAGCAAAAAACAGACAGAGGTCTGATATTTTAGCCGAAAAAAAAGTTTGAAGTTAAAAAATTATCCACTGTTGAGCAAGTGATTTAATGCTAAATTTCTCCAAATCTGTTCAGATGAAGAAACAACATCTACATCTTAGATGTTCTGAGGGTAATGAAGTTTTCATTTTTGGGTGAAGTGTTCCTCTAATTTGTTATTCAGTTATGAGAGCCATACACAATACAGTCATGTCAGATATAGGTACCACAACAAACCCGCTTCAGGTCATGTAGGCCGAATATGTTCAGTTTTCCCATCAGTCAACACCGCCATGATACAAACATCAGCACAGTGGAAAAAAAAGGTCTTGGGGGTCAACAAAGATCTCAAATGCCAAAGTAACAGTAAAATGTCAAAAACCTTCCCACAGACGGAGAATTGACAGAATCTCACAGCATCTTTCTGATCCAAAACGTTCTCTTAGTATCACATAAAACAGGCTCTCAAAGGAAGAAAAACACCCTGTTCCAAAACACAGTGAGCTGTCTTCATTGGCACCATTTCAAGGGATCATCATAAGCAAGCTATTAATGCACAAGCTGTTCCAGAAGCCATTTAGACAAATTTTAAGGTAGCCCTGCATGTATCTTTTATGGAAAAGCCAATCCCATTATACAATGCAACAAGCTTGGTAAAAAAAATAGGGGAAAACGTCATAATAAAAAATAAATAAAGAGAGAAATGTCTATTACAACTATTTCAGTCAATACTTTAAGTTATTAATAAAAATTAAGTAAAGTAATTACATTTTCATATTACCTTTGTACAGTTTGAACCAAGTCCTGTCTTACATTTTTTCTCGTTTGAGAACGTCGATATACGTCACAATAGGGAAGAAAAGATGACTGCATTTTCAATTTAATTTTGACTTTAGAAATGTCTATTAGAGTGCATTGTTATCTTAGCAACATGTTAAAACCATGCTGTTCAGGATGCTGTCTTATAAAGTAGCTGTCTATAAGCCTTAGCAAGGAAGCTCACTAGGTTTTGGAATAGAGCCACAGTTCTGCTCAGGTGAACTGAAGGGTAGCGGCTGCAGGTGTTCTCTGCACATGTGGATCTGACCCTTTGATTGAC